TGTGTGTGTGTGTGTGTGTGTGTGTGTGTGTGTGTGTGTGTGTGTGTATTACACAGGGTCTCAGTATGAACACAAACTGGTCTGCAACTTTGCCTCCTGAGTACTGGGACTAAAGTGTTTGTGCCACCATGCCTAGCAGGGTACCCAATGTTTATTGCGCCCCTACAGTGTGCAAGAATTGGGCAGAGAACTTATGGAGCCATCCCCCGCCTCCCCTGTGGCTTCCACTGCTCTGGAAACAGGCCAAGAAATAAACTGTAGAATAACATAAAGTACAAAAGAGCATGGGTGTGCTGAGAGCCGGGGAGGCCAGCTGCTTTGCCTTAGGCCATCAGAAAAGGTCTCTGAGAGGAGGGGTTTTCTTGTTCTTCTCTTTCTTCCTGGGTTTTCAAGACAGGGTTTCTCTGTGTAGCCCTGGCTGTCCTGGAACTTGCTATGTAGATCAGGCTGGCCTCGAACTCAGAGATCTGCCTGCCTCTGCCACCTGAGGTTTTTTTCCCACAAACTTTGGCTGGAATACGTGCAAGAGGAAGAAAAGAGGGAGACCCTATCAGAAGCAGGTGGCTTGGCATATGATGTCTCTATTTCAGGAATTTCAAACCATCGAAGTAGCTTCTTTTTCACTGATGTGTATGTGTGTGTGTTAGTGTGCTCAGCACACGAAAGCATGGGGCCTTGGCTGCTGTTCACTGAGTGTAAGGGGTTTGAAGGGTCTTGCCTTCCCAGTTCTTTGATTGGCCTCTTTCTGGTATCAAGAGGTCTCTGGACTGCAGAGGGAGGGTAGGAAGCATGTAGGCACAAATGACACCAATGTAACAGTGGCCAGAGCACTTTGAGTGAGGAAACCAGACTTCAGAGACAGCTCGATGTTTAGCAGAGGTCACACAGCTGGGTACTCAGGGGCTCCTTACTGCCCAGCTTTTGCTGTCCTTCACAATAGCCCTGCAGGCTAGAGGGAGATGCTGTGGTCCCAGGCCACATCCGGTTTGCCTCTTGTCTGGCTTAGTAGGTTCTGCGGGGCAGGAGGTTGTTTTTGCTTTAGAACTTGGATGTCCTTCAGAAGGGCATGTGACTTCCCAGAATGCCAAGCGGCCATGTGGGATTAGCATGTAATTGGCTGCCGGTGCATGACCCCTGAGCCCAGCGTCCTCTGAGTTCTCCTGGGTGGAAGTGGAGCCTTAGGAAAGAAAGGGCTGTGGGGAGGTGGCCTGTCCCCTAGGCCAGAGCCAGCAGGGTGCCACCCTGTACTGCAGACTGAGAGCAGGCTGGGAGAGGTCTGGGCTTTGGGGAGGGAGGGATATTCCTCAGAGAGGTCATGTGGCAGGAGGCCAGCATCAGAAGACTTGCCTCGCTGACTCATCCTGTTGTCACTGAGACAATGAGAATGTATGTCTCCCCACGTCATGTTGTGTGTGAGCATGTGAGTGTGTGTGTGTGTGTCCTTCCAGGCTGACCCTAAGGATGGGGATGAGGGAGCAGAAGTGAGAGACCGAACAAGAGGCGTCACTGTGCAGAGTCGGTAGCCGGCTGCTGTCGGGCAGAGCTGGGTAAAACACATCTAACAATAGCTGGCTGTATGGTTGCAGGGACAGGGTGTCCCTTCTCTCCGAGCCTGTTTCTCACTCTTGGAAGTAAAATCCACCGAGCTGTTTCCCAGGCCTTTTGTGTCCAAGAGGGTAATGCCCCTCTCCCCAGCATGGCAGACCCAAGGCTAATGTGCTGGGTGTGGGGTGTGACCAAGTCTGTGAGCCTACAGTGGGGCACTTTCAGACTATAAACTGCTCATAGAATGCGTTCGCAGAGTGCCGTCACAGGTGCACAAGGCCCTGGGTTCCCTCCCCCAGCATTGCATAAACTATGGTGGTACATGCCTGGAATCCCAAGTCTAGGGAGGTAGAGGCAGGAGGATCAGAAATGCAAGGTCATCCCTAGCACATAGTGTGTTCTAGGCCAGCCTACGTGACACTAAGACTCTCCCTCCCCAAATTCTCCCAGCATCCCCGCTGGAGACAGAGGTGTTTGTCCACTCCTGATTCCCTCCCCTGGGCTGGGGCTCCTGGGGTCATGGCACCAGCTCTGCTCTCTGGCTGCATCCTTTCCTATCCTCCCTGCTCCGATAATGCCATCCCACGCACCAACCTCTGACCTCTCTAACACTCGAACTGTTGAGATTGCAGTCCCTCTCATCTCAGCCCAGCCTGAAACACACACACACACACACACACACACACACACACACACACACACAACTCAGCACTTTCACTTCTAGGGCCTTTCCCTGACAAAATACTCTGACCCGTGCAGGGAGTCATATGTGAGGAAGTCTGCGGTGGGTCATGTGAGTCACTCCCTGGGGGAGACTCTTAGTGTCTTAGAGGGCTTGGGAATGCTGTTGTCCTCGGAAAGACGACAGTGAGGTAAGGGACAGAGAAGTGACCAGTGGCTTGCCTGGCCCTGGAATCCCACATGTGCCCATGCCAACACTTGGGAAGTGGAGGCAGGAGGATCTCTGTTAATTTAAGGCCAGCCTGGCCTACTGTGAATTCCAGGACAGCCAGGAACACATAGTCTCTGACCTTATTTCTTTATTTTGGTTTTTTGAGACAGGTTTTCCCTGTGTAGCTTTGGCTGTCCTGGAATTACTCTGTAGACCAGGCTGGCCTCTGATTCAGAGATCTGCCTGCCTCTGCCTCCCAAGTTCTGGCATTAAAGGCCTCAAAGAGGGGAAGGTTAGGAGGAGCTACAGAGAGTCTGCCTGTCTGTCTGTCCTGGTCCCAGCAGACTCTGCTCCATGTGGATCCTTCGATGTCTTAGTTTCCTTACCAAGGACCTGACTTTGTTGCAGCCACACAGGACCCATGTTTGTTTAAAGCCAGCCCTGTGCCTGGTGCACTCAGCTCATTCTTCATGTTTCATCTTTACTGATGTTGCTCGTATGTGACGTTGATTATAGAGAAAGCAAATTGCAGAAACGAGACCCAGGGTGTCCTGAGTTCTGGAAACCAGCTGAATGATAGGACCTTGACTAACGTAAAGGAGAGGGAAAGTCTCCATAAGGATGTGTTTGCTTGAAACTGGCAACAGGAAACAGGAGATCTAGTCATGATGTGTGTGTGTATGTGTTTGTGTGTGTGAACAGGAGATCTAGTCATATATGTATGTATGACATACATATATGTATGTATGACATATATGTACATATCTAGTCATATGTATGTATGTATGCATGCATGTATGTGTGTGTGTATAATTTTAAGCATATATTTTTTATTATTTTTAATTATGCACCTGTGTTTCAGTGTGTGCACATGACGCAGGTGCCCTGCCAGGCCAGAGGCATCAAATCTGTCGCCAGCTTAGGTACTGAGAACCTAATGTGAGTCCTCTGCAAGAGCAGTACGTGTTCTGAATCACTGAGCCATCTCTCCAGACCGTATTGTTTTGTTTTGAAACAAACACGTATTCATGAATTACTGTGCTAAGTTGAATTTATTACATTTATTTATCTATTTGTTTTGTTTTTGGTATTTTGAGAAAATTTCTCTGTGTATCTCTGGCTGCCCTGGAACTCACTCTGTAGACCAGGCTGGCCTCGAACTCACAGCAGTCCACCTGCCTCTGCCTCCTGAGTGCTGGGATACAGGTGTGCATCACCAGTGCCCTCGATATTTATCTGTTTTTTGTTTGTTTGTTTGTTTCTTTTTTTTTTTAATGTATAATGGGGGAGCATGAATGTGGAGGTCAGAGGACAACTTACAGACTCGATTTCACCACTTGGGACCTAGTGATCAAATTCAGGCCATCAGGCTTGGTGCTCAGCAAGCAGCTTTATCCACTGAGACATCTTGCTGGTCCATAGGTTTGCTTATTTATTTATTTTAAACAAAAACGTCCAGTGGATACCTTTGGGTTATAGGGGGTTAGGGACAGGCTGAAGGGAGGTCATGCTCAAGTGCTGAGATGAGTCTAATCTGGTCTCCCAGCAGGGTGGGGGTGGTGGCACACTCCTTTAATCCCAGCACTCAGGGAGGCAGAGGCAGGTGGATCACTGTGAGTTCCAGGCCAGCCTGGTCTACAGAGCGAATTCCAGGACAGCCATGCTACACAGAGAAACCCTGTTTCAAAAAACCAAAACAAACAAACAAGAACAACAAAAAACAGAAAAAACAATCTGGTCTCCCTTGGTGTCTTCTGTTACCCTTATCGCCTGCCTTCCCTTATCGCCTGCCTTCCCTTTGCGCAGTGTCGAGCTGTGTGTGGCCTGAACACTTCTGACCGCTGCAACTTCGTCAGGATGAACCCCGACTGCCACAGTGATGGAGGCTACCTGGATTACCTCGAGGGCCTCTTCTGCCACTTTCCCCCCAACCTCCTCCCTCTGGCCATCACCCTCTATGTGAGTTTGTGCCCTGGGGACCTGGCAAGGGGCATATGTCTCTGAAGAGATGTAACTGTCCCTTTTCCTGGTCCCCACCAGGTTTTCTGGCTGCTTTACCTCTTTCTGATCCTGGGAGTCACCGCAGCCAAGTTGTGAGTATAGCCTGGGATCATATACAGCTTACAGATGGGAATATGCAATCCTGGGAGCTGAAATCCAGTGACCTGGTTTTGGGAAATGATGGGGCAGGGGCCGGTCACTGTGAGCATGCTCATTGTTGGCCATGTTTGGTGAAAGGTCCTCACGCATGTGTGTGCAGGGGCTTATGGACACCAAAGGTCAATCTCAGGTGTTGCTTTTTTGTTTGTTTGTTTTTGTTTTAAGGGACAGGATATCTCTGTGTAGCCCTGGCTGGCCTGGAACTGGATTTGTAGACCAGGCTGGCCCCGCCTGCCTCTGCCTTTGCCTCCTGAGTGCTGGCATTAAAGGCGTGCCACCACATCCCAGCTTCCGGTGTTATTCTTAAGGACACTACGCATTCTGTTTTTTGAAATGGACTCTCTCACTAGCCTGGGCTTACTGATTGAGATAGACTGGCTGGCCAGAGAACCCCCGTATACTCAACAGGAGGGGTTACAAAGACAACGCCACCATGTCCATCTTTTTCGCATGGGTCCCGGGGATTGAACTCAGGTCCTCATGTTACAAGGCAGGTGCCTTACTGCCTTGACTCCCCTCCCTGCAGACCCTGACAGTTGGCTCTTCCTCCTCTAGCTTCTGTCCTAACCTGTCAGCCATCTCCACCAGCCTCAAGCTCACCCACAACGTGGCAGTATCCTTTGATCCAGCTCCTTGGTGCCGAGGTCGTGGGAGGCAGGGACTCAGGGTGGCGGAGATGGCGCCAGGAAATGGTCTGCATGGAACCCCCTTGACGTACTTCCCCATGGTGTCACCTTCCTGGCCTTTGGGAACGGTGCCCCTGATATCTTCAGTGCGCTGGTGGCTTTCTCAGACCCTCGTACTGCCGGCCTGGCCATCGGGGCTCTGTTTGGTGAGCACAGCCTCCCTGGGCTGTGGAGGTGTGGGGATCCCCTGGGTGCAGGCTCCTGAGCTCTGGCCTGCTGTGTTTCAGGCGCGGGGGTGCTTGTCACCACTGTGGTAGCTGGGGGCATCACCATCCTACACCCCTTCACGGCCGCCTCCAGGCCCTTCCTCAGGGACATCGCTTTTTACATGGTGGCTGTGTTCCTGACCTTCACTGCACTCTATCTCGGCAGGATCACGCTGGCGTGGGCACTGGGTGAGCAGTCGGGGCTAGTCCAGGACAGAGTCTCTAGAAATGTCTGAGGACAGAGAGACTGATTTGATTCAAAGTGACAAACACTACTGAAGCCAGCAAGTGATAAACAAAGGGAGGGGGCGGAACCCGTTCAGATGTGAGCGTGACCTCAGGGGCCTCACAGCAAAACTGGTCAGTTCTGATTAAGAGAGGCCGATCCGATAGGAGGGTCAGGGAAGCCAGGAAGGGACACACGGCCCATGGACTCCCCCATTTCCCTGGCAAGAAGGCAGGGGTAGGTAAGTGGGAGCCTGGCAAGCTGGAGCCTTCCGGCATGCATTCTAGCCATACAAGAGAATAGGCCAGAGACAGGGTAGCCCAGTGGGGAGATATCGGAGACCATATCCCAGACTCTAACTTCCTCCGTGGTGGTTTAACGGTTACCGTCCACCCGTTTCTGATGGAGGGGTTCCAAGGTATACAGGCATGAAAGGTGGACCTAGAATAGTAAGCTAAAGGTACAGCCATAGAGACGGCGCTCGCCCACCAGTGAGCGTGCTAGACACCTGTAGCCTGGATGCCACCTGGGGACGGTTTGCCCCTCTGCCCGCAGGTTACCTGGGCCTCTACATATTCTATGTGGCCATAGTCATCCTGTGCACTTGGGTCTACCGGAGGCATCGGAGCAGCTCTCTGGCCCACTCCATGCCCGAGACACCAGGTAAGGAACCTCCACGAGGGGAAGGAGGGGACCGGGCCCCTCTGTCCTTCCTTGCTACCTCGTCATGTCCCCCAAGGCCAGTCTGTTCTCTGCCTGGCCATCTTTTCTCCATGCAATTTCCACCCTGCCTGGGCCACAGCCATCCCCTGGTTTGTGCCAGCAAGGTGCAGAACCTTCTCCTCCAGGGTCACAGTGTAAGGAGTACGAATTAAATCATGATGATCACAACAGAGCTTTTATATGAAAGAGGTTTATTAGATGATATGAAGAGAGGGACAGAAGGGAGAACAGGACATAATGGGGGGAAAGACAGAGGAGGGGCGCCCCCCACAGAGAAAGAAAAGAGTAGCAAAAGAGGAGAGACCAAGAGAGGCCAAGAGAGAAAAGACCAAGAGGTTGTCCCTTTAAGGGGCAGGGTAACCACGCCTTCCAGGTGTGGCCACCTGGCGGGCGACATAATGGCATCATAGGTTACTAGGCAACCCAGAAGCAGGTTTGGTTCCAAAATCCTAACACACAGGTCTCCACACACTACCACAGTTGGCATCTCTCTATTAGTGGAGTGCTCGTCTGTCCTTGGGAAGAGTCTATGTGCACGGACCCTGTAGGCGCGGGGACAGAGCACAGGTTCACCCATATGCACAAGCGCACTGCACCCTCGATGACACATGCACACGAGTATGTAGGGCATTCAGAACACACAAAAATCCCCAGCACGCACGCACGCATGCGCGTGCGCACACACGCACACATGCAAACAGATGCACTCACAAATGCCCACACTACAGGCAGACACAAGCAGCACACAGGATTCGGGTGCCAGGCATGCTACTTGGTTTCATCCGCTTGGAGACACTTCTACTTCACAGCCTCAGACTCTGAGAGAAATCCCAAAGCCAAGGAGCTGGAGCAGGGCAGACCCAGTCCTCCAGCCACAGGCGCAAACTTAGACCCTGAAGGCCACACCCCGGAACGCACAAACCATTCTGGTACCAGGCTGCATAAAGCCTGTCTGTGTTAGCTGTGAGCCTGCAGAGGACAGCACTGTCTCATTTCTGGCATAGAGCAGGGGCTGAGGGTCCTCCTACAGGAAGCCTGCTGGGATTTCCCCTCCTAAGCAAGCTTAGAATTCTAAGCAAGCTGTTGGATAGAATTCAGAGCCTGTCCCTCTGCTGTGTCTGGAAAGAGACAAATGATTCTGAGAGAGGCCGAGGTCACAGAGGGGCAGAAAGAAGATTGTACCTGCCCCCGTCTAGTGGTGGGGGGAAAGGAGGCACTCTCCCCTGAGGTTTCTCTTCCCAGGTTCCAGGCCTAATGAGAGCCGGAACTTTAGAGGAACATTCTAGACAAAACAAAGCATCGTAGTTATGTGTTGGGTGTGCTGGCAGAGCCCTGTAACCCAGCACGTGGGAGGCAGCAGCAGGAAAATCAGAAGTTCCAGGCTAGGGCTGACAAGATAGCTCAGCCAATAAAGGTGCTTGCCACCAAGCCTGACTACCTGAATGTGATCCCCAGGGTCCTCACATGGGACGAAGAAAACCAACTCCTGTTAATTGTCCTCTGACCTCTACATGGGTGCTCTAGGACATGTGTGCATGCCCCTATATAATTACAAACATGTATGATATATATTATACATATTTAAACTTCTAGGACAGCCTGGAATACACAGCAAGAAAAAGAAAAAAAAAAAAAAAAAAAAGGCAGTGTAGCCACCAGGCACTAACCTGCCTGCTCGGTATTGGACGGCACATTGCCACAGCCTGACATGTCATGGTCCCGCAGTGTGTGTAGCCATTGCTGAGAGAGCTAAAGTGAGGGACTCAGACAGAGTGTATGTCTGGCATGGACAGAGTCCTGGGTTCCATTGCCCGTGCTGTAGAAAGTGGGCAAGGAGGTGCACGCCTATTATCCCAGTGCTGGGGGGATGAAGGCTGGAAGTTCAGGGTCAGCCTGGGCTGTGTAAAATCCTGCCAAGGAAGGAGGCGGATAAAGAGGAAGGGATGGAGGGAGGAGGGAAGGCCTGGACACTGGCATGTTAACTCGGCCCTGTCCCAGAGGTGACCCCCTGACCCAGCATGGTTCTGGAGGGTTCTGGGATGTCAGGGCATGTTGACCATGTCCGCCCTGTACCTGTCTCCCACAGAGATACTGTCTGATTCAGAGGAGGACCGGGTATCTTCCAACACCAACAGCTATGACTACGGTGAGGCCTGGGCCCGTGGGAGTAAGCACACCAGGGGACCAGCCTTCCCTGGGCTCAGCTGGGGCTCAGGGGACCTCTGCTGGGCTGGGAGGGCAGGGGAGGCAAAGAGAATAGGCCTCCTGGATGAGCCTCTCAGCCACACCTGCCCTACCTGGTCACACAGGAGATGAATACCGGCCTCTGTTGCTGGGTCAGGAGACCACTGCCCAGATCTTGATCCAAGCCCTGAATCCCTTGGACTACAGGAAGTGGAGGACCCAGACGATGGCCTTCAGGCTCCTGAAGGTAGTCAAGGTAAGAAGCGGGGACTCAGGATCCAGGTTCCCAGCCTGCGACTGTCATACAGTGTGGGTCTTTGTTTTATTTTGCTTTGTTTTTGAGACAGGTCTTACTGTGTAGTCCTGGCTGTTCTGGAACTCGCTGTGTAGACCCAGCTGACCTTGAACTCCCAGAGATCCACTTGCCTCTGTCTCCTGAGTCTTGAGGTTAAAGGTGTGTGCCACCGTGCCTGGCCACTGTGACCTTTCAGCTGGAGTCCACTGAAATGCCCTTTTAATGGCCATCCTGGGCTGCAGTGGGGAAACCATATTCCAGACTCTTAACTTCTGCTGTTCTAACTTCCTCCATGGTAGCTTAACGGTGACCTGACCCAAGGCTGTCTACCCTCTATAGAGGAAGAAAAGTGTCTGCCCTGGACAGGGAAACCCATCTATAGTGGCCTGGGTAGATTTTAGGTCTCCTTATTTCAGGAATAGAGAATGAACTATGTTTATAGGCCTGTAGCTATGACGTCATTGGAGCCGCAGTTCCCTTCAGTAGAAAATGGGAATTGTGGGGCTGCGGACATAGCTTGTTAGTGGAGCCCTTGCCTGACACAGTGAGGGCCTGGGTCCAGTCCCTACAGTGCGTAAATGAGGTGTGGCACGCATGCCTCAGTTCTTGGCACTGAGGAGGTGGAAGCAGAGACGGGACAGCGTGTGTGTAGGCGTAGGCATGGAGCTGGGCCTGGTTGTGGGTGCTCTGCGGTACCAGAGCTCTCCAGAGTTGGAGAGCTTCTGCTGACATCCCACCAAGCTCCCCACCTGCTGCCTCCAGCTGACACCCTCCCACTCCCCGTTGACCCCGCCCACTCCCCGTGACTCCTCTCATTCCCCAGTGACTCCACCCACTCCCCACTGACTCCTCCCACTCCCCCAGTTGCCTGTGGAGTTTTTGCTGCTGCTCACAGTACCGGTCGTGGACCCTGACAAGGAGGATCGGAATTGGAAGCGGCCACTCAACTGTCTGCATCTGGTCATCAGCCCCCTGGTCCTGGTCCTGACCCTTCAGTCAGGTGTCTGTGAGTACCCTTCCCCCACCGCCTCCCTCCGCCTCTTACTTCCGGAATCCTTCCAGGGCATGCTTATCCAAGGCACTTCCCTCTCAGTGGTCCAGCCCTTCCCCCTGCAGGAGGAGCTGTGAAAGGGCCGAATCCAGTCCTCTGCTTGTCGCCATCGAAGATTGAGGAGGGCTGGGGTTTGGGTGGGGCCAGGTGGAGCACTTGCCTAGCAGCTGAGGTGCTGGGTTTCATGTTCAGTTCTTTAAAAAAAAAAGGAAAAAACTGGGCACGGTGGTACATATCTGTAATTCCAGCAGTCCAGGAGGCAGAGGCAGGCGGATCTCTGTGAATTCGAGGCCAGCCTGATCTACAAAGTGAATCCAGGACAGCCAAGGCTATACAGGGAAACCTAAAAAGTGGCTGGAGAGATGGCTCAGTGATTAAGAGCACTGGCTACTCTTCCAGAGGACCCAGGTTCAATCCCCAACACGTACACGGAAGCTCACACCTGCCTATTACTCCAGTTCCAAGGCAGACATACATGCAAGCAAAATACCACCATACATAAAAATAAACATTGAAAAAAAATTTAAAAATTACAGAACAAGGCTGGGCATTGTAGCAAACTCTTTCAATCAACCCTAGCACTTGGGAGGCAGAGGCAGGCAGCTCTCTAAATTTGAGGCCAGCCTGGTCTATATAATGAGTTCCAGGACAGCCAGGGCTATACAGTGAGACCCTGTCTTAAAAAAAAAAATTTACAGGATGGGAGGCTTCACATCAAATCCAGCTTTATCATCTTGCAGTCTAGGCAAGGGTCCTGAAGGAAAACCTGGCCAGAGCCCAGAGATGGCTCTCCAAATGGGTTTAAGCTGCAGGTGTGGTCCAAGGGCTGTCCGTTGCCCTCAGCGTGACTCTTGGGCCCCCTCCACACTGGCTTTCCCCATGATTCCCAGAACTGCAGTTTCATTTCTGCCTTGTTCTGGCTGAGGAACACACAGATTCCCCAGGCACTTTCTAGTCTTAGTCCTGTTTTTTCTTGTGTTCTGAGGTAACTCACACTGTTCATTTCCCTGTCTCCTGGTGACTCCCCTCAACCAGGGTCAGTGAGGTAGGAGTTGGGCAAAGGCATGGGTGAGCATCATGTGATTTTCAGGCCAGGGTGAACCCAGAATCACGTTTGTGTGAGTGTGTGTCCAGTTTACGGAAGGATGTAGGGGAGGGGGAAGAGGAAGGGAGATGGGGTTGCCTGGGAGCCTGGTCCCTTGCAGGCTCTGTGCCTACCTCCCGCCAGGGCAAGCCTGTGGCCTACTTTGTTGTCACTGAGATGTTTTTCTAGGGTGGAACCCAGGGCCTCACACAGCTAAATGTGAATATGCCTGTGCTTTAGCCCCAGTTCTTATTTTTTTTTATTTAAGTTTCAGTATGTAGCCGAGGCTGGCCTTGAACTCACTACCTAGCAGAGGATGACCATGAACTGCCTGCTCTTTCTGCCTCCATCTCTCTTGTGCTAAGATTATAGGCCTGCACCACAATTTCCGGTTGTGTGACAGTGGAGAAGAAACTTAGGCTTCCTGCAAACTAGGCTGCTTCCTCAACATGCTTCCCTCCCCTTCTTTCTGGCATCTTGAGGCGCTGTTTCATGCATCCCAGACAACCTTGAACTCTCTGTGTAGCTGAGGCTGGCCTTGAACTTCTGAACTTACTCAACGCCCCTGTGTCACTGTGGGGGAAGGTGGGAGAGAGTGGGGAGCCAAGGCTGGGGGATCCCAGCTCGCTTTCTTGCCCCACAGATGGCCTCTATGAGATCGAAGGCCTCCTTCCCATCTGGGCTGTGGTGGTGATCGTGGGCACAGCCCTGGCTTCGGTGACCTTCTTTGCCACGTCTAACAGAGAACCTCCTAGACTGCACTGGGTAAGAACTGGAGGCCGATGGGTGGCCTGGGTGTAGTTTTTGGGGTGGTTTGGTGAATGGCAAAGTCTACCCTACAGGGGAGCCGAGTCCCAAGCCATTTGCCTGTTCCGGCTTCTTCTTATGGGCTTATTTTATTGAGCTATTACTCACATACTTGTCAATCGTTTATGCTTTGTTTCTTATTTTTGTTCCATTATTTTCGGGGTTTTTAGGTTTATTTATTTTCTGTGCGTGAGTTGCTTCCATGTGTATCTGTGCACCGTGTGCATGCCTGATACCCTAAGAGACCAGCAGAGGGCGCAGGATCCCCTGGAACAGGAGTTACCCGTGTTATGGGCCACCCAGTGTGGGTGGGGAACTGACCAAGATCCTCGTTCATTGTGTACTTTCTTAGCGGCATAGCAAACTCCTCCAGCCCCTATTTTGTTGTTGTTGTTGTGTTGTGTTTTGGCACAAAGCCTTTTGTAACCCAGAATGACCTTGGACTCATGAGCCACCCCCTGCCTCCAGTTCCCAGTGCTGGGATCAGGTATGTGCCCCTGTATCGGTTTTGGTTATGTTTCATGGTGCTGAGGACAGAACTCAGGGCTCAGGCACACTAGGCCAGCGCTAACGGGTGTGTCACATTCAGAGCTGTGCCACCACCACTAGTCAGCGGCCAGACATGTGACCTCTTTAGAACTGTGTAGGCCGGGAGCAGCTGCCTCACCGGCCCCTGCAGCGCTCTCTAGATTTGCCTCTTCTGGAGCTTTCTTCCCCCATTTCTGTATTTCCTTGAAAAATTTGTTTTGTTACATTTGTGTGTCTGTGTGTGTGTGTGTGTGTGTGTGTGTGTGTGTGTGCAGGAGCCATGGTGTAGTTGGGGAGGTCAGAGACAACCTGTAGAAGGTGGCTTTCTCCTTCCCACCATCACTGCTGCAGCCATTTTTCAGTGACAGCACGCCCTCTGCTTTGGCTATTCAGCTATTAGAAATATAATAATACATGTTTAACATTTTCACTTTTAAATACTAACTAGAAAAACCTTGTAAGTATTTGGTTAAAAGCCTGGTGCGGATGTTTTTATTTCATTGTGTACTCTCCTGGGGAGTGGGTCATGGGGTTGCGGTGACTATGTGTTTTGCTTTCTGAGGAACTTGGGGCTGTTGCCCAAGAGAGCAGCTGCATTTCTTTCTGTTCTCGTTCTTCCCGGCCTCCAGGTCTCTGTGTAATGGTCAGGTGTTTTGCCCAGCGGTTTGTTTCCTCCAAAACTTTAAACTCATTTTTTTCACTGTTTTGAGAACTGGTCTCTTGTAGCCCAGGCTAGCCTCAAGCTTGCTACGTAGGCAGGGAGGGCTTCTGCGCCTCCTGCCTCCACTTCCCAAGTGCTGATAACAGTTGGTGCTGGGAATCAGACCTGGGGCTTTTCACCTGCTAGGCCAGCACTTCACCAGCTGAGCTGTGTCCACAGCCCCAAGGTTTTCGATTTTTGAGACAGGTTTCACTATGTAGACCAGGCTGTCCTCAAACTCAGTCTCACAGAGATCCACATGCTTCTGCCTCGAGTGCCCAAGGCATGAACAAATTTTTCACTTAAAAACATTTTTTTTTTTTTCTGAGACACTGTCTCACTAAGTAGCCCTGGCTGTCCTTGAACTCACAGATACTCATTTGTCCCTGCCTCCCAAATACTGCGATTAACACAACCACCTGACTCAAGTTTTTCACTTTTAAATAGTTACTAATAGGCGAAAAATTAAGGCTGGCAAGATGTTTCAGTGAGTAAAAGCACTTGCCAAAAAGTCTGATGACGTGAGCTTTGCCCCCAGAAACCACACAATGGAGAGAGAGAACTGACTTCCAGAAAGCTGTCCCCTGCCTAACATGCACGAATTAAGTCACTGCAAGCTCATAAGGCTTGAGTACTGTCGGGCAAATACCCTGCCACTGGGTCACACCTTGAGTTGCAGGTACCTGCTACCTGGTTTACATTTAAGACCCTGAGGCTGTGACCTGCTGGGGACCGGCTGGGCCCCTATCTGGATCTCCATTCTCTCCGCAGCTCTTCGCTTTTCTGGGCTTCCTGACCAGTGCCCTGTGGATCAACGCAGCTGCCACTGAGGTGGTGAACATCTTGAGGTCCCTGGGCGTGGTCTTCCGCCTGAGCAACACTGTCCTAGGGCTCACCCTCCTGGCCTGGGGGAACAGCATTGGAGGTGACTTGGGGCTCCGGGGTGTCTCTTCCTTAGCCACAGTCGTATCTAAGAAAGGACATCCAGGGTGTGTCTCCTCTGTGCCAGTGGGTGCCCACTGTCATTTTTAAGTGGCTGAAATTGGGGTGGGGAGAACTGTCACTAAACCACCACTGGGCGGGAAAATCCTACAGAGGCCTTCCCACCTTGATGCGTGAATGCTCTGCAGCATCCCGGAGGTCAGGCAGGACATGAAACCCATTTCAGCCAACTGTGTTCAATGTATACGTGGGGGTGTGATACACCAGCTGTCACGTCTACACGCCTATGGCACCTGTGTAGCCACAGCGGCCAGTTATACACTGAACAGGAACATTCCAGTGTGAGCTGGGAGTCCAGAACCTAGCTGTCTTCAGCTCAGCTCTTTTACCTAAAGCACATGAAGTCCTGTGAGACCTTGTAGGGTACCATGCTACACCCCTAAGGGGGCTTCCAGTGACAGAGAGTGGCAAAAGGGAATTGGAGGATTCTGTCTCCCCCAGAGGGCCTTCCCCAGTGTTTGTTGACTCACTAGCTGTGTAGACAGGAGCCTGCCCCTCACAGCCCATCATTCTCTCTGTGCAGATGTGTTCTCAGATTTCACACTGGCCCGCCAAGGCTACCCTCGGATGGCATTCTCCGCCTGTTTTGGTGGCATCATCTTCAGTATCCTTTGTGGGGCTTCTCTGAACCTTGGCGTGGTGTCCCCAATCTGAGAGTCACAGGCAGACTCGATCCCACCCATGGGACTGGCCGAGGACCTGTGGCTTCCCCTTTGCATTTGTAGATGGGGGACTTGAGATTCCAGCCTTGTAGGACTCTTGTGACAACCTAAACCTCAGGTTCGTATGAAGGAAGCAACCTGGACCCATCCAGAGGTGGCCCTGCCCCTTCACCTGCCCCACCCGCAGCTTCTGTGTGGCGCAGGGGTATGGTGACTTAGCTCCAGTTTCCCAGTCTGCTGAGTGTGAGTGCGCACAAGTATCGGGCGTTTTGGACACCCCACTTGACTCACAGTTTGCTGAGGGCAAACTGGGCTCTTGGCACCCATTTTATTAGAGACCTTAGCACCATGGTGTGTGTGTGAACCACTGTGAGGGAGGGCTACCAGGCTGGGCTTGGGCTCCAGTAAAGCTTCCTGAACTGGCTGCAGACATCCTGGTGGGTGTAGGGTTGGGCTGCCTGCTGCAGATCGCCCGGAACCATGCTGCGGAGGTGAAGGTGAGCCAACCATCTTGAGGGATGGCTAGTGTGATTACAGAATACCTTGAAAATCTTTTGCATAGGGGTTGAAAGGAGTTTCCTTGCAAGCAAAGTTTTTAAGGCACAGCCTGCGTGGAATGGGCAGGAGGTGGCCTGGGGTTTTGGTCTGAAATCTTGCTGTGTGCGGAGTGGGGCATCTTTGGGCTTTGTCATTGAAGTGGAGTGATGACACACCCTAACTTCCTGGATAAACATTCGTGGGCTGAGGGCCAAAGCTGGAAGTCAGATCCCAGTACTGTCCACAGGGAGTTGGGGTGGAACGTGGGGCCCAGCATGCTGAGAGAAGGATCTTAAACATACAGGATAGCCTGGGTTCCTGGAGTCTGGGAATCTGCCATCTGTGTCAGCTGGGGAGTCAAATCTATGGCTCACACATGCCAGTCATACATCACAACACCACTGCAATCCTAGGCCTGGGATCTGCTCTCTGTGCACGCAGGCTATGCAGTTTTACAGACCTGTGCATGGAAGCTGAAGGCAGACATCGAATGACCTCCTGTGACCCTCTTCCTCAGTCCCTCCAGACAGGAACTCCACTGACGCCGGAGTTCCCCAGCAGCAATCCTCCTGTCTCTACCCCTCTAGTGCTGGGGTCGCAGGCTTGTTAGGGGATCCAAACCCAGAGTCTCATGTTTATGCAGCAAGCATTTTTACCCACTGAGCTATCTCCCTGGTCACCCCCTTCTTTTTGATTCAGGTTCTCGGGTAGCCTGGGCTGGCCTTGAATTCTTAATCCTCCAGCTTCCTCCTGAGTGATGAGCTTGAGACACCATGCCCTACTTGCACAACACAGGGCTTCATGTTTGCCAGGCAAACACTCTCAGGAAATCTGCATTGTAAACAAGATTCCCCCCTGCCTCTGCCTCCCCCGGTGCTGGGCTCGAAAGTGTGTGCTTCCATGCCCAGTGGGGCCTATGTATGTCATACAAGGGATTCTGCCCAAGAATCTCCCTTCAAAGGCTGGAAAACTGCAGAAAGCAGGGCTGGGCAACTACTGTAGGCATGCGGGCCTCAGGTGAGATGTCTAGGCAGGATGCCTCTGTGACAGTCTACAGGAAGCTGCTGCACAGAGCACACAAACCCTGTGCACCCAGCCTAAGTGCTGGGATGGCACCCAGGGCCACCTGTGGTATCATTCCACAGAGCCCAGCAGTGGTAAAGAAGAGCCCGACAGACAGCTAAACAGATGCGAATAGCCACACAGCTGAGAGACCTGCCTACCAAAACGGTCATACCCCCACCCCAGGCCCTCTCAGACCCTGCTATGCTTGCTTCCCGCGTCTTGCCGGTCCAGTGTATTAATGTAGGAACACGTCCTCAGCTACACAGCAGTGAGCATGCAGCAGTATGCAGCCAGAACCTGACCTGGTGCACACTCGTAATCCCAATACTTGGGACACTGAGGCAGGAGGATTACCCCAAGTTTGAAGCCAGACTGAGCTACAGAACAAGGTCCAGTGCCCAGAAGGTTTGTTGGGTGACTGAGAATGTGGGCTCAGGTTAGCAAGGTGTTTTTGCCTAGCGTGCATGCAGCCCTGGGTTTGAACCCCCAGCACCCCCAAACTTGGTGTGGGGTGCATGGCTGCACAGGAGGCCAGGAAAAAAAGCCCAAGCAGGCGCAAGTGGAAGCTAGCAGATAAGGTCCCCTCTGCTTTGGAAGTCTGGAAGTTTGTTGACTACATATCGGAGCCTTGCCATTTCACATGGCAGACCCCGTAGCTGTGTGCCGAGGACCAAACATTGGCCCCTGCAAGGAGCCCATGGCCCAGGCGGCTCCTTGGATACTGAACCACCTCCCCTGTTCTCCCCACAGCTGGAGCCAGATGGACTACTGGTGTGGGTGCTGGCCAGCGCCCTGGGGCTCAGCCTGGTCTTCTCCCTGGTCTCTGTCCCGCTTCAGTGTTTCCAACTCAGCAAGGCGTACGGCTTCTGCCTGCTCCTCTTCTACGTCAGCTTCCTTGTCGTGGTCCTGCTCACAGAATTTGGGGTGATTCACTTGAAGAGGGTCTGACTGAAGCTGCTGGGCCTGGTGGTTTAGGCGTGATTTCCCCCTAGCTTCCTGAGGAGAGATCTGGAGCTCCAAGAAGGTGGCATATCACTGCGAGAGCAAAGATCCCAACAGCCTTAGTGTGGGGATCTGGAGGCTGGCTTTGCTGGCGACAATCTGGTGGAAACGACAGGAGTTTGAGTGGCTGCAGAGGCTCTGGGGAGGGCATCCTGCGAGCCCCATCGCTGCCGGCCTTTGGGCAGCCCTGGGCTTCCCTCGTAGGCTCTCCCACTGTCCAGTGTCAGCCGAGTCCCACACTAGTAGCACTGGCTGAACAGACTCAACACCTGGAAACCACACCGGTTTCTTGGCCTCCGAGTCAGTACGACTAAAGGAAATAGGTCAAGTGAACGGTAGTGCACGTACTGACATGGGTGGCCCCCAACCACTTGGGCCCTGCCCTGTCCAGTGACTGGCTGCCACATTGGATCTAGACTCTGCTCGAACTGTGAATTCAGGACTCTGGCTCCCCAGTCTACAGAACAGGAGCCAGCCTGGGTCCTGTGCCTACCTCAAGGGGAGCCAGGGGAGTGCTCCCCTCCCCCCCCTCGACATTACAAGGGCTGTGACCAGCCTTTTAAAAATGCTACTCATTCTCTGACTGCCTTCAGCTGTAACTAGATTTGACTTTTTTTTTTCTAAAAAATATAAAAGACGAGCTATTTCAAGTGTACTGGAAGAGGCCCTCGAGTCTCATCAGTTTTTGCCTGAGCAGGTGACTGTAAGGTTGGGTGGGGTCAGCAGCGGATCACCCACTGACAGGAATCAAAGGCTGCAGCCGTGTCTACAAAGCAGAGGCTCTTTATTGACACCAGAAATCCGGGCACAGTGGGTTCCAAGGTAACAAATCATTGTATAAAACCTTCTGACGACGACGACGTGGCTCCTGACCCATACAAAATGATTGTCTGCATGGTGTGCAGTAAGGCTGGGGTGGGGGAGGGGAAGCAAGGAGGAAAGAGCTGGACACCGTCCCCACAGTGCCTTTGCCCTGTCAGGAGGAGCGTGGTTCCATAGGCTGTGACACAGAGCCACCCGTCCCCATTCAACTGAACTGAGGGAAGGGGTATCCAGGCTAGACAGGGTCCCAGGGTCCTCAGTTCACAGCTTGGGCAATTATGTCTGCCCCCAGCTTGGCGTGCCCAGGGTGACCCTGTAGGGGGACAGGTGTCCCCCAGGGGACACAACAGGCTGCAGTTTGGTCTGCCAGCACTATTTCCCTCAGGCACCTGGCTGGTGTGTGCTTAACCCAGAGGATTCTGGTACCTCTGCGTCGGGCAGACCAGCGTGCACACCTGCGCTCTGCTCTCCGAGGCTGCGGGATATTTGAAATCCTTGGGGTAGAGTAAGGGCCTATGACCAGGCCGTCTTTGGAGGCCTCCCTCTTTCTGCTTCCAAAATGCCACTCATACACAAAAACTAAGGCACCCAGCTGTGCAAATGAAGCAGCTTCTCTGGGAGGGGGCTGTGCCCTGAGTCCAGGCTGAGCCCCAGGGAGCCCTTCCAACCGGAAGGAACTCTGCCAGTCCTGACTCCCTGTGGGAACCAGTGGCTTTCCCAGGGGCTGTGCTTTAAAGTGAAAACGCCTGCTTTCCAGCTTGGCCTCACGTTCTTCAGCGGGGAGAACGTGAGGGGACCTGTGCCTGCCCACTCTGACTCCCAATCAACAGCGGGTATGGAAGGTCAGATTAGCAGGGGTGCCAGGCAGAGACGGAGCTGCTTCCCCAGCTCTCCCCAACCCTGCCTGCCTCTGTGCTTCTTCCCCCAGGGGACAGAACAGCGGGATGAAGTAACCACAGCTCTATCCCTGCTTCTACCGCCTTTGCTCCACTCACTGCCTAACCACCACCTTGCTGAGATGTCAAAAGAACTCCCACAAAGCACTGGTAGAAGGCGACTGAATGCTCACCTGACCCTCCTCCCCCACGCAGCTAGCTTATGAGAACCTTGGGGAAGACCAGTCCTCACTGTGCCCCAGAGTTCTTGACAAGCAGCACCCCATGGTGTGGTGGATGTGGTGGTGGTCAAGAACTGCCGGGACGGGCAATAAAGGTCTCGGTGCTGTGGCTCCCTCCCCAGACACAGTATCTCCTGCACTGTGTGAAGAAGGGGGCTGGGAGGGGCATTGCCTTCAGCACCAGCTCATACTAATTGCTGAGCAGTGACTTACAGAAGGGACTGGCCAAATTCCTGCGGAGTCCTGTTGGCTTCCTCCTGCTGGGCCTAGCTTCCCTAGGAAGCTGTTAGAGGATTTCAGCCACAAGGCTGGGTGGAGTGCTCTGCTGTCTGGCACCATCTCTGTCCAGCAGAGGCCTGACTAGATGTCCCACTGGGTCGCAGGCACTGATCCCTCAAGGGAACCTCCTAGCACTCTGCCATCTACAGATATCATCCTGCAGGCTGTGGGGTTTCTCCCTAGTGGTTTTCTCCCTAATACCAGACACGGGCACCTGTGGTAGCCGCAGGACTAATGGGGACGATGCAGGACGAAGCCTGAGGCAGCAGCAGGGAGGCAGTCAGGGTCCCACCTGTGTGACCCCCCTGAAGAAAGCTGGCATCGCTAGCTAAGATGGCACAGCCTGTTTCAGGGCTTCCGGAGTTCTCCATGGTAGGAAGGGCTCAGCCGGGCCTGGTCCTCTAGCCCAAGCCAACTGAAGGAGCTCAGGAAGACAGAGCAAGGCGGGTCAAACCGGCCCTGGCTATTCCTTCTGTCTGTGTGTGAATATGTGCATATATATGAGTGTGTCTTCATACACACACGGTTTCCATACATCTAGTACATAATACTATGGTGTTATTGCATAGAAGAGCTGGCTTGATGAGACCTGGCTAGGTGACAGTCTGGGAGCGCTGGCGACTGACGGGGGGCTGCTGGGTGGCGGGGCCGGGCACCCTGCCCTTGAGCTGCTGCTGCTCTTGTTCCCGGGCGTGCTCCTCATACCACTCCTAGAGAAGAAGCAGGTACTGCTGAGGGCGGCTTGCCTGCCATGGGCCCCACTCCTCAGACTCACTGTGAGGGACACACAGCCCATGAGGGGCAGCAAAGAACCTCTGTTGGTGGGGGAGGGCAGCGGAGGCAGAACCAACCGCTTCTAGGGCCTGGGGCACTCTGGTAGAGCAAGGGTTAAACAGCTCCACCATATTTAAAGAAACAGATCCTTTAGAGCTTAAAGAATTCCCCATAGTCTGTCCCTCATTAACAGAGGGGAGACTGACGCCAGAGTGGCTGAGCAGGGTGGCCTGGCCTCTAGGCGCCTTGAGTGCTCCTGGGCAGTTGGCCCACTGCTCTTCGAGGCACAGACTATTCTGTCACTTGGGGGTGTGGTCAGTGGCATCAGTAAGGAAGCTGACCACGACTTCCTGTGATAAACTGCTGCACAGGAAGTCCTAGAGACCCCAAGGGAAGAAGAGCCTGAGCAGGGCTCACGCCTCTGGGTTCTGCTAGAAGGGCACGGTGTCAACCCACATGGCGTTTATATACTTTTAACAGCTGCCAGTATGGAAATATTGGAAGATGGAGGCAAGAAAGGCAGGCTGGAAGGAGGGACACTGACTTTATCCTTGAAACAAAAAGCCTCCAAGTCAAAATGCCCATTGCCCAGGGCTCAGCAAGGGCTATTCCCATTAGGCAACCAGGGGCAGGAAGAGGGGAGAGCCGCCTGCGGGCCTCTTCCTTCCTGCTATTCAAAAAGAACCACAGTGGGCACTGGACACCCTCAGGGGACAGCATGGCCATGTAACAGACTGGATGGGAGAGTGGCCATCCAGGAATGCATCGAAATATCAAGACTTTGAAGGGCCTTGGTCCTGAGTCCCACAGAGGATGTGGAACCTTCCCGAGCCCCCCACCAGAAGGGCCCCTCCCGGAGCATCGGTCTCTACCTGGATTTCCTCCTGGTACATCTTCAAGCTCAGGTCACTTTTGGTTCTTGATCTCCGTCCCAGAAACACCAAGGAGTTTTGCTGGGGAGGAATGGAGGCTGTGAGGTACGCGTAGCTGCCGGTGGCACGGACTCACTTGAGGCTGGGCCCTAGGGCTGCACCATGGAGGCTGCTCCTAGCCCCCTGACATTTGCAAGGGTGCCACCAGCTGGAGGTGGTAGGGCCTTCGGCCCCTTACCTGGTATTTCTCCATCTGAGAGAGGGTGTCAAGCAGCCGGGTGACGTCAGAGGAGGTTCCCCGCACCTCCCGATAAAGCTCCAGGATGGCCAGGAGCTCCTCCTTAGAAATCTCCTTCTCGATGACAATGCCGCTGTCCACTGAGGGTGGGGAGAGCCGGGTCCCATGACCGCTCTCCCCCACTGTGGGGTCAGGATCTTCCCTCCCCAGCAGCACCCAGCCCGTTCCAGCCACAGGTGCTCCTTCCCTCCCCTCCCCCTCACTCCGTGTCAGGGAGGTATGTCTAGTCAACAGTTTACGTGGACACAGGGCATCAGAGAGAGCAGGGTGTGGGAATCTCAGCGTCTGCATGTGGAGAGCAGATGGACCACCTGAGGGCCAGCCTTGGCCACTTAGCAAGTCTGAGGCCAGCTTGGGCTACGTGGGCACTTATTTCACAGGGCTTAAAGACAAAGTCTCCAAGATAGAAAAATATCTGGTGGCACTCGGGATGTAGCGACAGAAAGGATCACTTATATGGCAAGACTGTCTCTAACCATGCACATCTGTGTGTGTATGTAAAATCAGTTAGCCCGATAGATACCATGTCAAGAACAAGAAGGAACGGGGGAGGACAACTCTGGCACATTTTTTCCCTTTTCCATCTTCAGTTCGGGGTTGGAATCCTGGGCTTTGCACATGCTGTGTATGGAAACAGCTCGGCCGCTGAGCTAAGAATGAAGGCGGCTGCACAGGCAGGCAGAGGTGAGCATAGGCAGGCCACTGGGCCAGAAGGGGACATTGTTCGGCTCTGCAGGGAAGTTCCCATGTGGGAATCAGGAGCTGTCTGAGTTTATTACAGGGAAGTGTGGCTGCAGCAGAAGGCGCACACTGGGAGTCGGGAGCTGTGATGTTAAAGCAAAATGTGGCATTGGCTGACGTCTGCACATATCCTACTGTTCTGGCTCTCGGCTGTGTGTGCTGGTAGGAGTCTGTCCAGGATTGGGAGGGGACAAAAGGCTGCTCCCCCGACAGTCTTCTCCACTCAGAATGAAATGATGGTGGCTACCTGTTTTACATTTAGAACTTGCACTTTCCTGCTGTTAGAGTTTTAACAATGGACACAAGCGAGACATAGACAAGACAACACAAAAGCGGAGGTGATGTAGTTGACACAAGCAGGCATGTGGGGATGGCCAATGGGACAGCAGAGTGTAGCAGATGGGCGATGGGCAGCTGGCACCCAGGGCGTGGCACCCATACAGACCTTCCGAGTCCTGGCTCTTGCGGCTGTAGTTCATGCGGAAGACAAAGGCCTCCAAGATGAAGGCCACGATAATAGTCATCACCACCTGGCCAGGGAGAGGCAGTGGGTGGGTGCCGTGGCCCTGTCAGATGACAGCCTTCCTCTCTGACCCTGCGGCCCAGAGGGACTGAGGACGGCTGTGGTGGGGACCTACCATGGTCACGATGTAGAAGATCATGAAGTACAGGCGGCTCCAGTGGGAGGTCTGTGAGGTGACGCCTTCCTGGAGGAGACAGTGAGTGAGCCCACGGGCAGCACTGGCCACAGTCTCCTCAGTCCGTCAAGCCCAAGCCCAAAGCCAAGCGACACTCAGTGATTTCCCCAGGGCCCTCCCTGTGTGTCTGGGACACTGAAGGGTGGACTCTTGTTCCCTGGATCTGAGCGTTCCTTTCTGTGGCATCAGCCCCCAGCCCTCTCCAGCATGGCTGACTAGAGGCCAAGTCAGCACTGATAGTCTTCAAGAATTTAAGAACTGTGGGGGGCAGGAGGGAAAGCACAGCCACCCTCACCATACTCTCTTCTTTATATTTAGAGACAGAGTCTGTGGACTACAGTGATCCTCCTACCTCAACCTCCCAAGTAGCTGACACTACAGGCCCACCCTCCAGGGCCTGGCATGGCACATGGCTGATCAACAGCCAGACACCCAGAGGGTGTCAGGGTGCGCAGGGAGGGAGGACAGCCAGGAGCACAGAGCCGAGGAGTGGCACTGCTCACACTGCATGATAAAGATCCCTTACACCCATGGAAGAGAAATGTACCCCAGCCCTGAGACAGCACAAAGCTGGGGGGAGCCTCCGAGCTTACCATGATGATGTACCAATTATTGACAACTGTGAGCTCAAACAAGGTCACTGCAAGGGAAGGGGGATACACCTCAGGCCCATGTCAGAGGCCCCCTCCAACCCCGAGTAACTGCTTGCACGGAGTCCTGCCACCCAACCTAGCCCCCAAAAGCCATGCCCTTTGCCTGAAGAGCCCATAGTGGGGCAGATCTGGCTGGGGCTGGTAGTGAGGAGAGAGCAGCAGGGTATGTAGGGGAGAAAGAGGTGCTCTCCTGTCCTCCGAGAGGCCATGTCCAGGCCTGTGATGTCCCTCCCATCATTAGGCTTTGGCAAGGAACGGGGGAGCAGAGCAGAGCTCCAGGGCCTTGCTCAGGGGCTGCGACTACTGAAACAGCAACTGTGTGATGGGTCCCCTCTGATGGCATTGATGAGGCTTGCCATGCTGACACCACAGCCCTCCCTCCAGCTAGGGCCCCTCATCTCTCTGTCTCTGTGAGGTCCGGTGCCTGGGAAAGCCTGGATCTGCCTGTTAAGGGACCCCAGGGAGGACGCCCGGTGGCTGGAGAGAGAGTGAGGCCTTGTGCAGCTCTGAGCCAGGCCAAGGCCAGGAGTACCCTCCAGGACCCACTCACCGAAGCTGTTGAGGATGTTGTCAAAGTTATTGAGATAGTAGTAGCCTTCCTCCACCTTGGTCTTATTGCCCACCGTGTGGTTGATGAACCGGTAGGCGTCAGCCACCGTGCTGGTGCTAACAAGGGAGACAAGAGGGCAGGAGGGCCATGAGATGCCTGATGACTTTCAGTAGGACAAGCAATGCAAACCAAGGTCTGGCGAGGGCTCTCTTCAGTGCCCCACCCCCCACTATCCTGCCCCATGCACCATCACTGGGCATGTCGGCAACCTGTGGAGGAGGTGGAGGTAGTGAGGGATGGGGGCTCTCTGTGTACCCCCTCCCAGGCTTCTCTGGAGCACTACCCATGGGTCCCGGCTTTGACCCAGCTTTGTCCCCTCCCCACTTGGAGGGGACCCTGTTTGCCACGCTCTAGCTTTATACGCTTCTGCTAAACTCTTGCTGCCACTTGTAAAAGTCAGATGCCTGTGCCACCGGGGAGCTCGCTAGCAAGGCTACTACGTCCCAAGTCCCCAGCCTGATAGGTACATGGACCCTGAAGGGAGGTCTGAAAAATGCACTTGAGTGCTATAGTGACGGTCAGGATGGGTTCCTGGTGTAGCCCTCAGCTGGATCACCAGGGTCACTGGTGACATATCAGTGCTCAAGGCCACATGAGCCAGTCTTAAGTGGGCACAGTGACAGTGGAGCATGTTCGCTTCCTTTTTAGATACCGCCACAGAGGTGACACCCTTGCTCTTCATCGCTCATCCCTGCGACCTTCTTGCCATGTGTCCCCTCTCTTGTCTCCTCAGGTCCCAGCATCTCCTGGATCAGGAGTGAGGGTTCCTCTGGCTCTGGAGAGGGATGTGTCGACTGAGAAGCCTACTAAGGATGGCTGATGCTGGCTCCCACATTGTCACTCAGCCGTGTGCCCAGCCTAGGAGTGAAGCGCATGCCGTGCAGGCCCGTGGCCGCCCGCCTGGGGCAGCCACTTACTTGCAGCAGTTGTGGTACAGTCGCCCATTGAAGAACTCCATGCCCACGATGGCGAAGGAGTAGTAGAAGGTGAGCAGTGTGAGGCCGAGGCTGGGGAGGCAGAGGGACAGGGTAGTCAGAGCAGGGGGGGAGAGGGGCGGCTGCGGCGCGTCCTAGTCCCCCAGCGCTGACTGCGGGAGGCATGCCCCTAGCCATGGCCAAGTGACCTCTGAGAAGTGCCTGCAAGGGAGGGGCCGCATGGCTCATGGAGGGTGGGGACGCTAGGGACAGATGCCCCTTGAGCAGAGATGCACCCCTTACCTGTGAAGGTAGGCTCACAGGTGACCCCTTACCTGTGAACGTAGACACAGGTGGTAAGTCGACAGCGCCCTGCCCTCCCCACTAGACAATTCTGCCAGGCCAGTGCTGCCAAGGGGACCTGTATGGTCCAGAGTCTATCTCTTTGAAGACCCCCACCCCCACGCCCCTGAATCCAGCTTTCCTGAGATGCCTCCTTTTTCCCGCTTCCCTTGAACCCCTACACAAGCCTCATGCCTCCTGGACCTGCAGGCTGAGAAGCAGGCAGTACCTGGCCATTCGTGGCAGCAGCTCAAACATGGTGTCCAACACGTTACGGTAGCGTTTCTTCAGTTTAAATAACCTGAGCAATGAGAACACTGTGTTGCCAGGACGATAGAGTCAGGGGCATGGCCACAGCCCACCTCCTCACATGGGCCAGAACCTTGTAACTCTTCCCCTCCCCACGTCAAGGCAAGGCTGAGAAACTTTGCACAGCTGAGCTCACTTCCCTCATGACTCATGAACCATGGCACTGGACGGGACAGACCCAGGACACTGGGGCAGGCCAAGACCCCCTAGGGTGCCACAAACTGTGCTAGCCTCATATCGTGTTATGTGGTTTCATAAAGATGCAGCGAGTCCCCTGCTGGAGTGGACAGATGAAGCCAGCAGCTCGGACGGGATGACAAGCCCAGAAAAGAGGGTGCAGTTACACTCGGAGACCCTCAGAAAGAGGTGCAAAGGAGGGATGAGTCACAGTGGACTTGCTCTAGTTGGCCTGGAAGGGATGGCGGGAAGTGGGGCCATGGCAGGCAGTTAAGGTGGCCCTGACTCCTGAGGCTCTGAGAGCCCATACCCTGAGGAAGGCATATGGGCAACTGGGCTCCACTGGGGCCTCACTGGGCCTAAAAAAGTGGGACAGCCTGCACCAAAGTCCCCCAAAACATAGGTCGATCAGGGATGTCCCTCCAGGCCCTCAAAGGTAAGATGGATGCCCTGACTGGAGATGGGAGGGGAAGAGCAAGGGGGGTGGGGGGGGAAGGTGGACAGGGCGGCTCTTCCTGGGCTGCTGGCTGGGCCATTCTGCCCATCAAAAGAGCACTGTGTGCCCGATTCTGCAGAGCCTGAGCTAAAGATGGGAGCTCTATCACTATAGGCTGGAAAACCTCTTGGCTAGTCCTAAGGCTTCTCACCCGCCAACACCCATTGCCCATTCCCATGCCCTGCAGGTCACCTCAGCAGCTGAAGGGGACGCAGGACCACTATGAAATAGAACGGCTCCATGTTGAGCGTCAGCGCGAGCAGTCCCAGGAAGGCAAATGCTGTGACGGAGAAATCGAACCTGGGGCCAGGGGAGAAGCCAGTTTGTCAGTGACATCACAGACTTCCACCACCTCAGCCAGCTAATCTTAGCTGGCTTCCACAGAGGCCTGTCCAGCCACAGTGCATAGGCCCACAGTGCCCAGGACAGTATCTTATAGTTGGCCGTCCCCGGCTGCTGCTCAGGTCTGAGTCATCCTTGGACATTCTGACCCCAGGGCGCATGTGCCTGGAAACTGCCTCTGCAGACCCGGTGCTGCCCTAAGGGCAAGGCAGAAGCCTTGGCCTCAGTAGCCCCCTAGATGGCTGGCCACACTGGGAACTGAAGGCAGGACTCGAGACATACCAGGCAGGCAAAGACCCTACTTTCTTGTGCCTCAGGGATGGGACCCAGGGCCTCAGGCATGACAGTCTGAGTATACCCACTGAATATATCCAGCCAATTCCTCTTTTGTCCTTTGGTCTCCCCTCATCCCGCTTGATAAGGTATTTCTCTTGTCCAGAGTCTTGGACTCTGGGCTTCGGGGATGTGCCCTCTGCTCCACCACCCCCGATTTCTTCCTGCTCTGGCTGGTTGTATTTTGATCACCCAAGCCCTTGGGAGTGTGGCCTGACTTTGCACGAGTTAACTTTAAGTGGAGGGTGTGCGACCTCCAGGGCCACACTGAGGCCATGTGGCCCTTTTCACTTGTTTTTTTGTTTTGTTTTTTAAAAAAAGGGTCTCACAGCTGGGCAGTGGTGGCATGTGCCTTTAACCTCAGTCCTCGAGAGGCAGAGTCAGGTACATCCCTGTGAGTTTGAGGCCAGCATGCACTACTGAGTGAGTTCCAGACAGCCAAGGATGCATGGAGAAACCCTGTCTCAAATAAACAAACATTAAAAAAAATATAAAACAAAACAAAAAGCAGGGTCTCACATAGCCCAGGCTAGGTGTAAACTACTATGTAGCAGAGGATGACCCTGGACCCCTAATCCTCCTGCCTTCACTTTCTGAGTCCTAGATGACAAGCCTGTGCCACCAAACCGACTCTTTTTACACTGCCAGCCAAGAGGAGATGACCCCTTCTGTGACCTTTGTGGTTTTCAATGCAAGAGAAGACACTGGATGACTAGGAAGAGCCTGGGGACCAGTGGGGACTGATGTAGGTGGCCCCAGAGACAGAACTTGCTGTCCTCTGAGCCTCCAGGTGTGTGCCCAGACTGGCCTGCCCTTTGGGTGTGGGTGGGGAGAGGGTAGCTGATGTGGACACCTCCGCCCAGGGCGACTGTGTGCTCTACTTACAGGTTCCATCCAGAGGACAGGTACTCCACAGGGCCCAGGCCAGCCACCTTCAGGAACAGCTCAACTCCATAGACTAGAATAAGAGGGAGACATCAGGAGCCGATCTGGGCTCTCTGCCCAGCCCACTGAGGGCAGAAGGCCAGCTAGAGGTAAGGCTGAGGGACATGGCAGAGGGGTCAGCTAGAGGCAAGACTGAGGGACATGGTGAAGGGCCTTGTCTGGCTAGGGAGCAGTAGGAAGTGCAGGGATTTGAAACAGGGCAGAGGCCCTACTAAGATGGAGGTCCTTCAAGGTTGCATTTTAGGGAAGGGCCATGAGCTGTGGTAGCTTGTCAGAGTTCTCAGAGCTGGGTCTGAGCCAGCAGCCAGGCAGAGCCACATGGCACACTTACTGGTGAGAAACACGAGGTAACTCCAGGGCACATGCTTCGAGATGAAATTCCCACCTGGAAGACAGAGAAGCAGCGGCTGCAGTCAGCCAGGGGCTCTGAGTGAGGTGGGGAGAGGCTCCAGCGGCAGCTTACCTTTCAACATGAACGTCTCCACCAGGATCCACACCCCGTTGACGGCCACCACCAAGTCTGTGATAGAGAGGCCAGGAGAGGGAGTCAGAGGGGACGGGGCTGCCAGCCTACAGAGCGGCTACAAGCAGGAACCCCTGGTGTGTGAACAGAGCAAGCGTGGGCCACACACCATTCCTGGAGGATTCCCACTTCTGCTCAGGGTTCTCACTATGGACCAGCATCAACCAAGGAATTCCCTTAGGAAGCCAGTGGGAATGACTAATGGTGAAGTTTGCGTCACTATAGCAACTGGGTTCAGATGAGTCCAAGTTGTCAACACAGTTGGCCAGTAGACACAGGCTTGTCTGCCTTTAAAATGACTCTGTGATGTTAAAAGCACTTGTTGCTCTTGAAGAGGGCCTGGGTTTGCTTCCCAGCACGTTCACAGCCATCCATAACTCCAGTCCCAGGGATCGGATGGCCTCGTCTGACACACATGGTGCACAGATACACAGGCAGGCAAAATACTTGTACTCATAAAATGAATGTAAAACTTTTCTTTCTCTCAAGATCACGTGAACACGGCAACATCACCCATTGCATGAACCTTCCACCCCAGGACCAGAATCTAGATACATGGGGAAATGTGTACAGGATGGGAGTTGGGGGCTGGCTGAACAGACTGACACATTTGCCAAGGGACATGGCACCCACAACAGAAAGCCATGTGGCCCCTCTCTGTGTTACCATGCAGTGGTCCTACTTCCTAGCCATGGAAACACCACAGTGGAAGGGTGCCTAAAATGTGCTCACGTATCTAAGATGGAAGTTAATTTTCAAATACTTTTTTTTTGTTGTTTTCCAGACAGGATTTCTCTGTGTAGACTTGGCCTTCGCCTTCCTGGACTCACTCTGTAGACCAAGCTCTCCCCCCCCCCTTTTTTTTTTGAGATAGGCTTTGACTATCCTGGCATTTGCTATGTACCCCAAGCTAGCCTCAAACTCCTGACAGTCCTCCTGCCTCAGCCCCTGGAATACTGACTGGAATTACAGGCTTTAGCCATTATGTCCAGCTCTTGCAACTTTAAGGAAATTATAGTTGTTTATTTACTATTGGTGGGGAGCATGGCGGGCCATGCATCACCAGGTGCCCGTAGCAGTCAGGGGACAACTTGCTGGAGTTGCTTTCCTCCTTCCACCATGTGGGTCCAAGGAACTGAATTCAGACCTTCAGGCTTGGCCACAGGCTCCATTAGCCCCTGAGCCATCATGCTGGTCCTCTTATAGCTTTTAAACAACAGAAAAATAAGCCCCAATAAAAATCAGCCATTGGAAAGTAATCAATATAATCTATATTTACTTGAATATATTTTGTTTTGAAAATTTGACTTGAGGGGGCTGGAGAGACAGCACAGCACTTAACAGCACTGACTGTTCTTCCAGAAGACCCAGGTTCAATTCCAGGTTTGGCACCCACATGGCAGCTCACAACTGTCTGTAACTTCAAGATCTTACACCTTCACACATACACACATGCAGGCAAAATACCAATGCACATAAAATAAAAATAATTATTTGAAAAAAAAACCATAAAATTTGACTCGAGCCGGGCATGGTGGCACATGCCTTTAATCCCAGCACTTGGGAGGCAATGGCAGGTAGATCTCTGAGTCTGAGGGCAGCCTGGCTTACAGAGAGAGAGTTCTAGGATGGCCAGGGATACACAGAGAAGCTCTGTCTTAAAGAGAAAGAGAAAATAAAAAGGCCAGTGTAGCGGCACCTTTCATCCCAGCACTTGAGAAAGCAGAGGCAGGCAGATTTCTGTGAGTTCCAGACCAATGAGGGCTACACACCGAGACCCTGTCTCAAAACCAAAGACTTGGCCACATGTCCATACATCGACACCAACTATTTCTGGTGACCTGAAGCATGCTAAGCAAATGTGTCTCCCTAGGTGATACTTCAGGTGACACAAGGTCACATCTGAGCTGGGACCCGGGGCCTCAGGCATGTGTGTGCGTTGCTGGGAATCAAGATTGGGAATCAAGATATGTCAAAGTAGTGAGTCAGGTTAAAGTCCTAGGGTTGAAAATCTTAAGTATCAAGGTAGACCCATAATGAGTTATCATGAAAAAGGCGTAATCCAGCTGACCATTGTGTCTCACGTCTGTGGCCCCAGTGCTTGGGAGGTGAAAATGTGAGAGTGTCCAATGCCAGGCTGCGTTACACAGGGAACCGCAGGCTAGCCTGAGTCCCAAAGTGATAGCCTGTGTCAAGAATTACAAATAAGTAAAAATAAAATGGAAATAAATTAGTTAAGGCACTTTTCATTAGTGATGAGTCCAGGAAGAGCTGCCATAGAGAGGAGGTCGGTCTCTATGGATTTCTGTCTCCTTGCTTCAAGTCAAGCCCCTGAATAAAATCATGCACACAAATAAATACTAAACAAATGGAACCCTGGCTGGAGAAGCCTGGAAATGGTCAGGGCCAAGCAGTGAGCCCTCTACCCCTCACACTGTGGCCTCTGAACATTTCTTCCCAGAAGGAATCAGAGCTCCTCAGCCAGACAGAACCCGTGATGCTGGACCGTGTCCTCCCCCCATCAAGTACATGGAATGTGCTGGGGCCTTGAACCGTTGCTCTGTGACTGCCTCCTGTGTGTGATGCTGGGGGACCCATGGCTTCCTGCGGGCCAGGCGAACACCACCACCGCGAGATATTTCCAGCCCCTGAAATGTTTTTCTTCGGCTAAGGGCTTGCTGTTGGGCCAGGCTGGCCTTGAACTTGTGGCAGCCACTCTGCCTCCCAAGTTCTGGGACTACAGTCATGCGCCGCCACACTTGCTAAGTTTCCTTTCCCAGTTAGCTTAAATGTCAAGAATGACATGTAGCAGCTGGGCGTGGTGGCGCACACCTTTGATCCTAGGGCTTGGGAGGCAGGGGCAGGTGGGTTGCTGCGAGTTTGAGACTAGCCTGGTCTACAAAGCGAGTCCAGGACAGCCAAGACCACACAGAGAAACCCTGTCTCAAAAAAACAAAAGAATGACATGTGACTAATGGAACAGTGCGAGACCAACCAGAGTCTGGATGGAAGTGCCAGATTCTGAGGAGCAAGTGCGTGAGGGACAGGCAGATGGAAAACAGAGCCGCTTCCTCAGCCAGCGTGCAGGCTCAGGTCTGCAGAGGAAGGAGCCCTATCAACGCTGTGGTCCCAAAGGACCCAGGTCTACAGCAGACACAGAACTGGAGGAGGGGCCAGTGGCCCAGGAAGTGACCACAAGATAATGATGGCCACACACAATAAGCATGGCAAGCCATGCTGGATCTCAAAAATTTTTTTTCTCAGGGATGCTAGGGACCACCAGTACTCAGTGGCCAAGGCACATGCTTGGCACCTTCTGATCTCTTGTCCCTCCACCTTCAAGAACAAAGGACTCATGAGGACAGGGACCCAGAACTGTGACACTTACACATGAAATACTGGAAGGCCTTGGACTTTACAAGGATGTTAATTCCTGTTTGGAGAGAAAGAAATGTAAAGGTTAGAATGCCCAAGGGAAAGCCAGGCTCGGTGGCACATGCCTGTAATCCTAGCACTCGGGGAGGCAGAGGCAGGTGAATCTCTGTGAGTTCGAGGCCAGCCTGGTTTTCAAAGTGAGTTCAGGACAGTCAAGGCTATAGAGAAACAATCTTAAAACAAAACAAACTGGCTTGAACTAAAGAGTGACTATTTCATGAGGAACACTGATTCGGGCATCTGATTTAATGTTCTTTCATTTTTTTATTTTTGAGATTGGATTTTGCCATATTGCCTAGAATGACCTCAGACTTGCCATCTTCCTGCCCCCACCTCTTTAGTGCTGTGATTGCAGGTGGCTGGCTGGCCCCTGGTTTTACTGATCAGAGTCCTTCCTGGTCTTTCCCGAGCTAACTGCTGACTTCCCAGCTTGATCACAGACACTCTCACCTTTGAAAATGAGGAAAGCCGTTCGGGGAAGCTCGTCAAACCAATGCTCTCTGTTCTTCTTTGCCTGTAATGCAGAGTGCCCAGGGGAAGTGAGGTCACAGCCAGGGGCCAGAACCTAGTGCAGGTCAGGCTGTGGGCACAGGGGAGATAGACAGGAACCAGAACCTAGCCTGAGCCTCCACAGGGGCTAGCCTCCTGCTCCTGCTGCTAAACTGGAAACAGCAGTGACATTTATGGATCTGGATGATAAGCGGGACAGCTGGCATTGAGTGCCAATGGGGCTGCACATATGGATCATATTTGAATATGGCCCAACTCTCCCGAGGTGAGGCTGGGAAGGCTGGGTCATGGGATTTGGATTCCATTCCTGTTGTGGCTGAACCGCCCTCAGTATGCTGGGTAGGGATGTGGGGACACTCACCTTCCACTGCAGAGCAGCAACTTCGTAAATATCATAGAAGTCCTTCAGGCTGCCACAAGCAAAGAGAAAAGGTGGTCACACACAAGCCTGCCACACACTGACAACTCAGCCTTTGTTCCCACACCTGCCCAAGGCTATGGCTCACAGGAAGATGGACAAGGTGTGGGGCCCAGCACTGAGCCAGGGCCCTCACCCACAGCGTCCTGGTCACCTCTGTCCTCCAGGGGCTAGGACGACTCAATCCCCTAAGTCCACACTGACCACCTGTGCCCTGAAACGCTGCCCTTTAGGGGAGCAGAGGCCTCCAGGGACAGAGCAGTGACCCCAGCTCAAAGAGCCTGCTGCCATCACTTCCAGAGCAGGTTGTACCGGCTCAGTGGGCAGTGCCCTCATGCCCACCTGCCTCAAGGCCAGGACCAAAACCAGGGGTCTCTCAGGCTCAGCCCCTCCAAGCTGGAGTGTGCATGTGCACCAATGTATGTAGGGAACATTTGCGTGTAGGTCAGAGGACGACTTTTAGGAGGTGACTCTCTCCTTCCACCCTGTGGGTTCCAGGGATGAGCCTCAAGTCATCAGGCTTAGCAACAGGCATTTTACCTGCTGAGCCACCTCGCTCTCTTATTTATTCGTTTCCATTTATTTATCTATTTATTTATTTATTTGTGGGATTAAGACCTGAAATAGTGCAAGCTGGCCTCAAACTCACTGCATAACTGAGGGTGGCATTAAATTTCTAATCGTCCTGCCTCTGGTTTTTTTGAGACAGGATTTCTCTGTGTAGCCTTGGCTGTCCTGGACACACTTCATAGACCAGGCTGCCCTGGAACTCACAGAGACCCGCCTGTCTCTGCCTCCCAGAATGCTGGGATTAAAGGTATGTGCCACCATGTGTGGCTGCCTTGGGCTTTCAAGGACTAGCCTTCGAGGTGTGCACCGCCATGCCCAGCCTCAAATGTTTCAGGTAACCAGACTGAAATGGACTATGGTTTGGCTTCTGTGGCTTGTGAAAGATTACGGAGGACTACGACCATGTGACAGCTGTGGTGTGAACTGCATCTCTCAAAGGCCTCCATATGCCCAGAACTGCTCCACCTCGGGACAGTTGCTGGCGCTTACCTGAGCACAGGTGTGTTGCTCTGGTTCAGAGCCTTGAAAGTCAGGAAGCGCTCCCTCGCACTCATTCGGGGCTTGTAGAAGCGCATCAAGCCTTCGAACTGCCTGTAGGAGATGCCGGCTGGCCTCTGGGGGAGAGAGAAGGCAGTGATGGAACACAGGGACATGAGGACATGAGGACTGGTGCCTGGGGCCAGGTATTCCGATTCACATTTTGGCGGCCAGCATTTTCTCTCATGGGCAGTATGGCAGCCAAAGGGTCGCCAGCTCTGGCCAAGCCTAAAGGGATGCTTTTGGTAGGGAGAGAGAATGAAGTTCCCCTCTGTGACTCGGCCCTGATGCCCTACCCGCTGGCTGACAAGCAGGCGGTACGCATGCTGGATGGCGGTTCGCTTATGCAGCAGCAGAGACTTGAACTTGTGCTTTTCGATGTCATTGAAGGTGTCGAACACCACGGCCAGGAGCTGCAAAGGAGAAATATGGACCCTTGGCTGCCCTCCGAGTGGACCTGCAGGACTCAGAAGTCATCCTCTAGCCTAAGACTGGCCTTTCATCCAGCTCCCCGCCCCTGGGGGGAGAGACTGAAGACCCTCTGGTGGGCTGCACTGCCCAGGACAGCGGCAGCTGCTACACTGTGGAGGACATGAACAGCTGCCCTTCATACAGCTCTCTCCTGAAGACACTGTTACTGGGTTTTCCTCAGGGCCCTCTTCTGTCCCCCATAGCTGGTCCCTAGCTGACCAGAGGACAGGTCAGGAAAGAAGCTGCATGAACACGGACCCTGGAGGCACCTCCTCTTCCTCCTCCCCCGTTCCCCCCATCACTTTTCCTGTGACTCACAGCTTCCCTGAGGCTCCAGGGATAGGGGGAGCCTGCATGGCAGGAAGGAACATTCTAGAACTGCTCCAGAGCAAAGGCAGTTTACTAATGAGGGGAACTAGGGTGGGGAAAGATCCGAGAAGTGCTCTGTCTTTCAAAGTTGCTTTGAGTGAGTGCTCCTGTGCCTTCAACTGCTTCAGACTGCCACCCCACCCTACCCCCCCGCCACACACATCCACTGTTTTCCATGTAGATGGCAGGTGAGTATGTTTCTATCACAGACCACATAGGATGCAGATGGGCTCTGTCACAAGTTTACTCAACCCTGTGGTTGGACCGTTCCAAGGAGAGATTAGCCACAGATGAGAATAAACACTGGGTGTGGCTGGGTGCCAATAAAACTGATTAACAGTAACTGCTGCATGCACACACATACATATGTGAGGGGGGAGTCAGAGAGCAACTTTTGGGGGTCCTTTCTTTCCTACTCAGGCTGTGTGCCTTATAGGCAAGTGCTTTTATCTGCTGAGCCATCTATCACACCGGCCCTCTCTTTTAGGTTTTGAGACACAGTCATGTTCTGGTCTAGCCATGGCTGGTCTAGAACTTGCTATATCCTCCTGCCTCCGCCTCCTGTGTGCCAGAGTTACGGGCTTGTGGCACCAGATCTATGCCTTCCATGCTGTTTCTTCCACGAAGAAATTCTCCGACTCCCCTTGTTCTAGTCATCAGACCCTCTGTGCCCCGAGTCTCACCTCACTCTGGAGGGAGAATGTTGAGGGCACAGGCTTTCCACACTCCTGTGATGCCTGTGTAATGGAGTCTCTGCGAATTCCCAAAGCACAGGGTTTGGGGTACTTCCAGAGAGCCTCACAAGGGGAGGGCTTTGCAGGGGCTAGTCTGGAGAGGGCAGGGGGGTGGCCACTGTGATTGTGCAAAGCTCCATCTGGGCTCCTTGCAGTTCCTTCATGAGAAACCTGCACACACATCTTCCTAGCTCTGCGAGTCCCTTGAGGAAATTACTGACCCCAAGGTGGAGGTTATAGGAACCCTGATATGCAGCTAGTGAGCAAGAAGCATGGGGGTCCCCAGGTACTCACAGCCACCTGAAGTCTGGGGACCAAGCCCTTGACCTGTGGGGTATGGTGCTGTCTGGATGTGCTATGGGCAAAGTTGCTAGAAAGCACACACACCTGCTTGACTATCGGCTCATTAGCTTGGAATGTGGCTGGTCTAGGACCTAATTACAAACTACCTCAGGTCCTTCACAGCTGCTTCCTACCCCACCCCTGCCTGTGACCTAATGTCTTGGTGGCTATTAAGGAAATCCTTCAGGATATGCAGAGATATTGCTGATCCAAAGGCTGAGAATGCCCTCAGCCGGCACCGGAGTCCAGAGCAGAGTTCTCCTCTTTTTTTTAAATTTATTTATTTATTATGTATACAGTGTTCTGTCAGCATGTACACCTGCATGTCAGAAAAAGGCACCAAGTCTCATTATAGATGGTTGTGAGCCAACATGTGGCTGCTAGGAATTGAACTCAGGACCTCTGGAAGGACAGCCAGTGCTCTTAAACTCTGTATCATCCCTCCAGCCCCTCCTCCTCTTTCTTAATGGCACTTAATAGCACTGAAAAGTGTCTTGATTGGTGAAATTCTTTGTTCTGTTGTGACAAACTCTCACGGCAATGTTACCACGGAACACGGGATTCGGGGTAACCTCAACCTGTGTTCCCAGGCCACGGTCACTCATGTTTGGCTCCAGAACAAACGGTCTCGTAGCTCCACTCAGGTGAGTGAGGTCTGTGTTTGTGTGACGGACAGTGTCACACTGAACTGTGCTGAGGACACCAGTGAGTGCGCTCATGATGCTGACAGATCCACGTGGCGGCTGCCCGCATCTGCCTGCACTCCTCTCTGCACAGAGCCTGGCTGGCTTCATCACGGCAAAATGTTTACGGTAAGGAGGGATAGACGAAGCGTTGAGAGTTGCCTCGCTCTGAAGTCCAGCAGTACCTAGTCATGGAGGCACAGAGCCAAGGGGGTGCCACACAGGGCACCACACCTGACTGTGGACCTGGGACACACCTGCTTGGTGTCCCCACACCTCCATCCCTGGGGCCCATCACTGCAGTGGAGCCAAGAGAGACACTCACCAAGTTCATGATGAAGTACAGCTCGATGGAGAGGTACACGATAAAGAAGACGCAGGACCAGGGGTTCCGGGAGTAGGAGGGCATCATTACGTCTGGAAAGCTGGATGGCAGAGGATAACCTTAACCTCTAAGGACGCACCTGCTCCCCTGTACCCCCTAGCCCTCCACTCGGCCCTGTGCGCACTGAGACGACAGCACTGGGTGGAAGGAGGCGGCCCTGGCCTGGGGTGAGGACCGAGGTCAGTGGTGAAAGTGAACCCACGCTTACTTGGCTGTGGTCAGAAGCACAAACAGGTTGACGATGCTGTTCTCCAGGGTATTGAAGTACTAAGGAAAGGAAGGCTCGTGTTGCTCGGCCTGGACAGTCACCTCCAGGGCTCTCCTCTCCCCCCCTTCCTCTTTGTAATACAAGGAGCATCAAAGCAGGGGTGCCGGATACATGGAGGCCTGTGCTTCATGAGTCTATACTCATGGTACAAGCCAGCTACCAATGAAGGGAGGGGGTTCCCCCATGCGTGACAGGTCCCTGCAAGGAGCTCCATTCCTCCATTCTCTACCAGAATATTCCAACATTCCAAGCCTAATTCTGGAAGCTTAGCCCATGAGAACAGCCCTCACGGAAAGCAGTGTCTCAGGTCTGAGGGATGTAGACTCTCAGGAATCAGAAACCAGGCAGGTGCCCCTCCTAACATGGCCAGGGTCCATCCTCCCATCTGCCCTTTCTGTCCCCATAAACAAGGGACCAAGAACTAATTACTTACGGGGTCGGAAGGGTTAGTGGAGAATAAGTAGAAACCTAGAATGTGGTAGAAAAACAGACCAAGAGTGGAGTTAAAATGGAGTTCCCACGAGAGGCGGAAGGGATCCAAAATGAATGAGAGCCAGGGGGGAGGCTGAGGGTGTGGTGTGGCCTGCAGCACTCCAGAGAACACTTGTACTGCTCTAAAGGGAGTCGTGCTGCTGTGTGCAAGCCTGCTGACCCAGGGGAATGCATTTTGGCTTGGCCAGATCAATTCTTTAAAGAAATGGCTGGAAATCTGTATTTTTGTATAAGACTGAATATTAAGTTTTCAAACTAAACAGATCACATCGGTGGGCTGGATCATAGATGCAGGCTGGTAGTGTCTCTCTGTGCTCCGAGCACACGACAGCCAAGACATGCAAAAGGCAGCCAGGCAGGAATGTTACTCTGTCCTTCCTCAGGAGCCTGAGGATTCTGATCCAGGGAAAATACCCTGTCCCCGCGTAGAAGACAGACGTAATCTGACAAGAGTGGGTGGCAGTGCGCATGTGCACTCCCAACATACAGGAGACTGAGGCAGGATAGTCATGGGTTCTAAACCAGCCTGAGCTACACACCGAGATCCAGCTGCCCAGGCCCCTCTATAGCACATGGGGAGGTAGTACTTTCTCTGGAGGTTTGTGCCTCCAGAGGTGCAAGCAACAGCCCAGAAGAAGGATGCAGCCTTCTTGGGGCTACCGATGATGCATGTAATGAGCCCGGCTGGCTGGACTCGGGACACTCACCAAGGATGGCGAAGATGATCATGAAGAAGAGCAGCAGCAAAAGGATGTCCATGAAAGGTGGCAGCGACTGGAAGATCTGCCGCAGGTTGCTGGGGAGAAAGACAGACAGTCAGGGGTGGGAGGAGCTGTGTCTGGAGGGGGAGGTGGACAGGCTGGTGGTAGAGATGTGTTTGGTGTAGCTGACCTGGAACACCACATCCTACTGTACCCAGTTGGGCACCATGCTTAGCTTAGTCCTAATGCACCTGAGGCCGCCACTCAGCGGGTGACAAGGACAATGAGGGCACGTGAGCCACCACCACCTGGTGACAGTGCCTTAAGAGGGAAGGCATGGCAGGAGACTACATCACCTGGGGGACAAAGTCACCTTCCACAGGTAGGAGGGGGCATGCACATGCGCGTGCGCGCGCACACACACACACAACCACCTAGTCCCGGGATAGTTGTTTCTAGCTTTGGGCACATCCCTGCCATCGGCAGGTCCCTGGCCAAGTAACCAGATGGAGTCTCTAAGGATGGGTTTAATTCTGGAAAGGGTTAGCTCTGGGCTCAGGGCTCTCGACTGTGTGGGAGGAGCCTGCAGGACAAGGCTGGGAAGTCTGCCTGAGACTACTGTTGTAGGGCTGGAGAGAAGCTACACCTAAGACAGGGAAGAACTCTGGGCCAAGGTGAGAATGGCTGTGCTCCCCAGCAATGCCTATCCGACCCCAAGTTCCAGCTAATGTGCTGACAACTCCACCAAGAAGCCGAACTGAGCCGGGGCTAGTCACCTCAGCTCCTGCTCATTCCCTTCCCTGTCAACCCAGAGGGCCAGGCAACGACATGGGACTATGTGGCTGCCGAGCCCCGGGCCTTACCGCCGCACGCCGCCACAGTACCGACAGTCCACCAGGAAAATGCAGCGTAGCGCCCTGGTCACCCGCATGTGGGATGTCTGTCGCACCAGCACCACAATGGCCTCGATGAACTGCACCACCAGGACGGATGTCTGGAGATGACGGGACAGAACACACTTAGCTCACTGGCCCAGCCTCCAGTGTACTGAGCAGACACTGATGGACACAGCCCACAGGGACTGGCGGGGCTCCTCCCATTTCTGCCTCTCCCCATAGCAGGAGTGAGCCCTCCTGCAGCCAGCTTGGATGTGTGGCCTGAGGAAAAGCTGGTGTGTGGCTCCTCTCTCCAATGAAACAGCACCCTGCCTCTGGGTGCTCCCCCACCCCACCCTGATATTCTCCCAACAACCTCATGGCACCAGGAAGCCCTTGAGGACTCGGCTCACTCAAGCTCTGCTCATTTGAAGATGTTTCCTAAGACAAAGTGCATGGCCCCCGGCACAGTCCCACTGAGGTCACAGGGCTGGGTCTGAACCCCACTCTCTGGGTCTGAGACCCCACTCTTTCTCTGGCTAGATGTGAAATGAGAAGCCCAGGGCACTTGGCCCCCGCAACCCATCCCATGATCATGTGGGTTTTCCCGGCATATGCAAATCGGCTCACCGGGCTCCACTCCCGAGCATACACTGGGCCCGAGGGGATTTTAAATGGCGCCATAGACACAGGTGTGTAGGGTAACCAGGAGAACACGCTGCAATGGGATGGACAGATATTAGTACCTTGACCATGGTGCGCTTATGCCGGACAAACGTGTGGAAGCCCAGCCACCGCAACTTCATGCAGAGTTCAAATACCACCACCATGAGGGCGAACAGCTCCAGGGTGGCGTGGACCTGCAGTCACAGAGGTGAAGACCATGGTCAAGAAGCCCATCCAGTGTACCTCCCCTCTCCTGGGACTTCTCCCAAGATGCTCGTGCACACAGTCACAGACACACACAGAGACAGAGACAGACAGACAGACAGACTCACACACACCCCTACCAAACCACAAGATGTCAGACAAGGCCTTGGAGACAGAGCTTCTCCCAGACAGCTAAGAATAAACTTGACATTCAAAAGCTAGAATGCAGACCCACATAGTGTAAAGTTAGGAAGGAGTCCGAGGCACTGAGAGAACAACAACAAAAAAGCTCTGTGTTCTAGGGAGAACTGTGTAGTACTTACAAAACAATCCACATTCAGGTATTCAGGAAGTAAAAATGGGGTTTAAAACAGAAAGAAACTTCCCAACAAGTTTAGCTGTCTAACCAGGCTGCTGGGGCTGGGGAGATGGCTCAGTGGGAAAAGGCGCCTGCATCCCACATCCAGATAGAAAGAGAACCCACTCCACAGTTGTCCTCTAACCCCATACAGGTGGCATGGCATGAGTGCATGCATGCACACACACACACACACACACACACACACACGATAATAAGTAACTTCTTTTAAGAAGAAGAACATGTGAACAGAAAACTCTAACCAGTGCTTCCCCATGAGATGGACGGACAAGAACCCAGGGAACACTCCCCATAGGGGCTTCACCCACGCATGCCGGGCTCTCCCAGGCCTGACCACAGCGTGACCCCAGCCAGTCCATGGAGTCACTGGTAAACAGAAGGGCACTCTTCCAGCTGCAGCGGGGGCAGGGGAGCTATACCTTCCTGTCTGTGCTTCTAGGAGGTTAGGGCCCCTAAAGTCACTGACAAGGTGCCGTGCCCTTTCCCAGGGCACTCACATAAATGCCAAGCCGGAGCGCAGGGACGGCGGGTGCCTCGCACAGCGACAGCAGCAGCAGCAGCAGGGCTGTGAGGAGCTCCATCATGTAGAAGAGGTGGTTGTGTGCAAAGAGGTAGGCCGCCAGCGCTCTGGCATCCTTGGGGTGGGTGAAGAACTTGTCATTGTTCTGGCCTTCCTACAAAGACAGGAGAACCTGAGCACGCAGCACAGGGGCGCCAGCGCTGGAGAGCTGGTGGGACACAAAGTAGGGCGGGTCACAGTGGCCAAGATGTGGTTCAGGCCCTAGACTGGCCTCACTGAATGGCCCCGCCTCTGCCTGCTGATGGGGGCTCAAGAAATGCTGTTAAAATCTGTCAAACTTCTGTCAGGCCTCAGAGGGCATGTAGACGTCTGAAGTAAAGTGTTCACGAATGGGCTGAACTAGCAGTGTGGGCCCGGCTTCCCCAGCCTTCTCGGTGGGCAGTGTAAAGTTCCTTGCCTTCCTTGCCAGTGGTGAACAGGACAAGGCTGGAGCTTCCCCAGAGTTATATGAAGAATGGGGACTTCTGCCAGGAATCTGCTGGCTGGCACACCAAATGGCAGCCATAGGACGTTGAGTGAAAGTTATCACTTGGGAGGAGCCAGCGACTATACCCACTGAGACCCCTATAGTCTGCTGGTGCGGCCCAGTGGAGCCTCTGCTGTACTCTTGTGTAGACATGGCTGCTTTCCGATGTGGGGGAACACAGCACCCTGATTTCACCTTGGGCAGACTCCAGGACGCTGATCGACACACAGAATAGCCCCACAATGCACCACATATGCCACAGTGCAGAGGCTGGCACCTCACTCGCTCATGCCTCAGCGGATCAGCGTCCCAGAAAGCAGATTCCCGCCCTGCTGTCCCCATGACCCTCTTCCCCTTCTGAGGAGGCTGTAGCTGACAGGGGACTCGGGTCACTTCCCTAAAGCTGGATGCTACTCTCCTCATCAGCAACAGAAGACAAACCACAGAGGAAGCAGTGGCAGGGCTGTGCCCAGGGGAGACCGCAGGGCCCTATGGTCTGTGCAGGGCAGGGTTGCCCACCATCTCACCGCAGCCCTGGGGGCACAGAAGGTCTGGGAGCTTCTGCTTTAAATTACTAAAAAAAAAAAAAAATGCAATTCTTGTGCAATTGTTTCCAACCAACAGCTGGGGAGGAAGGTGTGACAGTTTGGTGGGAGGGCTGTGCTCTGAACTCCAGAACTCCAGAACTCATAACCCCCCGGGGGGTTGGGAGTGGGTGGGTTTCGTCTCCACCAGCAAAGATGGACTGAGAACCCCCATCAACAGCACTGCTCAGCCCCCAAAGAGAGCTTTGGGCTTGTGTATAGACCACCCAGCCAGGGCCCCCCGGGACATCAGAACCTCAACACTCACGGTTTCCCAAGCAAGAAAATTAACAGAGAAATGTGGCAGAAGAGGAAGCCAATGACAGCAGCCCTCCTTGATGTGGCCAGGGCCAGCAACCCGTACAGCCCAGCGACCTGGACTGAGCCTTCCCCAGCCTAGCTGCGGCGGGCATGAGAAGCTGGGCCTGGTAGGAACACTTGAAACCCCAGCACTCCTGAAGCAGAGGCAGGCAGGGCTCGGCAGCCTTGAGGCTAGCCAGGGCTACATAACAAGCTGCAGGGCAACCAGGGCTACACAGAGAGATCTGGTTTCTTAATCAAAAGGGAGGAAATTATGTTGTCTGAGACCATCTTAATTTATGTTAACAAACATGGAATGATTTTATAGAAAAGTATTGCTTTAAAAAAAAAAAAATCCCCAAACATTGCCAGGAGTGGTGGTGCATGCCTTTGATCCCAGCATTCAGGAGACCGGGGCAGAAGGATCTCTGGGAGTTACACAATTACAGAAAGCAACCCTTTTTTAGAAAAAAACCAAACCTCCCAACAACAACCATCACTATCAAGAGCAGCAGCAAGGTACATGAGAACAGAGCATGGAGCCTCCCCCTGCGTGAATGATCCCCTGCTATGGTGGGGCAGACAAATGGTCCTCGACAACTGGGTCTGTGGGAAGACAGAGGGAACAGACTGGGGACCGGGGGCATGCATAGCCACAAATAGGGCAATGTACCTGCCCACGTGTTTGCGCGCTCGCACACACACACACATACACAGGTGAGCTCTCCTGTTCCAGTCTGGAGCAGGGGCAGCCATGGCTCTGAACATCTTCTGGAGTACTGGCTGTACGCAGTCCACACTGATGGGGACTTCCTCCGGTGCCCACCCCCAGGCGCTGACCTAGATGCACTCACCTGGAGGTAGATTGCGGCCTCTTGATAATTCATCTCCCAGTTGTGTCCAGCGGGACTGGAGGGGAAACTGTAGGTCCCGGCCCCGGGGACCAGACTGGGACCCTGGGAGTCCTGGACGCTGTGGCTGCCCCCATCTGCATTAGAAGAGGAGAGACTCACTGAGAAGCCAGGCTTACAAGGGCAGAGGCGCTCAGCACAGGGGTCACTCTGTTAGTATGCTGACCTGCACTGCTAGCACCAAGCATCACGGTGGCTCCTCAGAAATGTTTAAAAAAAAAAAAAAAAAAGTGCCAGCAAGATGACTTGGCAGAAAAAGGTGCTTGCCGCCAAGCACGATGACCCGAGTTCAGTCCCCGGGACTCACATGATAGGAGGAGTATAGACTCTTGTCCTCTGACCTCCATATGTGAGCCCTGGCATGTAGGTCCGCCAAACCTCCTCCAGTAAAATAAAGGTAATTATCTTAAAAAGAAAAAGAAGAGCAAAAGAGCAGAGGGAGTGGGGGAGGGAATGGCTAGACCTACTCATGTCTACATATCTTTAGGAAAAAAAATGCAGGGAAGGAAAACAAGAAATGGGCTGTCTGTGAGGGGTAAGGGCAGGCAGAAGGGCAGGCTCACTTGTAGACTTTTGACTTTTGGAAGCCTGTGGAGATCCTGCTGAGTCAAACATTTAACCGAAGTGGATTTTTTTCTCTACCACCACTGCCCAACCCCCACCCCCGCCTGCCCCGGGGGTAGGACCATCTGTTACTTCTCCATGCTCCCACCAATGCCCACCTCTCCAGGAACCCTGGCCTGCTTTGGCCCGGCAGAGCGCCCTCTCCCACCCTCAGCCACACCATTTGGCTTGGCTCACGGACAGCTGACCCAAGCTGGCCAGCAGAGCCAGGGACCATGGTGGGCACTGGAGCCAGCCAATGAGGAAGGTAAACAGAAAGGACCCTTTAACTTCCAAAGTCTGAGCCTGTGCTCAGGCTTGTCACAAGCTGCAGCCCCTCCTGAACACTTGGTGAACCTGAGTACGGGGCAGTGAGTCCACTGCATTAACTAAGAAATAAATCTATGACAATCTGGGTCCCCACAGCCGCACCGTAAATGACATCTCCATAGGAGAAACCCAACGTTTAGATGCTGACTTTCGCACAGCTGATGGAAAGCAGGTGTGTGGTGCATGAAACCACACAGGCTAGGACAGAAAAGGCTGGGTCTGAGGGACCTGAGTCCCAAGAGCTGGAAATACAGGCCAGGGTCACCAGGTACAGTTGTCCACAAGGCTCACCCCACAAATTTATAAAACTGCATGCAAGGGCCCATTGGCATACACTGAAAGGTACATGTTTTATAGTGCACAGCTTGACAATTGTGGTTTTGGGTGGTGCTGGGGATGGAACTCAGGACCTTGCAGATGCTCTAACGCTGAGCTATGCCCTCAGCCCAACCTCGTTTTTATGTCTGTGCACCCCGTGAAGGCAGCAGCTAAATCAAGAAGTTGAACCACAGGCCTGGACGAGGCAGGACGATTGCAAAGTCAAAGCCGGCCTGGGGTGTAGAGCTCAAGTCCGGCCCCTTGAAATCCCCATCTCAGAATAAAACGTAGGACCCAGCAGAGAGATGGCTCAGAGGGGTAAGGCTCTTGCTGCCGAGGCTGATGAGCTTAGACTCCTGGGACCCACATGGATAAAGTAGAGAACTGACTCCCATAGTGTCCTCTGACTTCCACACACAAATAGGCACAATAAATAAATATTAAAAAATTTAAAATAAGCCAAACGTGGTGGCCCGTGTCTTTTGAGTTGTAGTGCTCGAGGGGTGCAGGCAGGTGGGTCTCTTTAAGGTCAAGGCTAGCCTGGTCTACATAGCCAAATTCTAGATCAGCCAGGGCTGCATAGCAAGACCGTGTCTCAAAATTTTTAAATAAATAAATGAATGAATCAAAAATAAAAGTGGGCCAGAGACACCGCTCAGCGGGAGAGCTCTAGCTTAGTGTGCACAAGGCCCTGAGTCAATCCCCCTCACAGCAAAAAACTAAAAAAGTTAAATAAGGCCAGGCAGTGGCGGTACACAACTCTGATCCCAGCACTCAGGAGGCAGAGGTAGCCTGATCTCTGATTTCAAGGCCAGCCTGTTCTAAAGATCCAGTTCCAGGATGGCCAGGGCTACACAAACTGTCTTGAAAAACCAAAAATAAATACATAAATAAACCTAAATAAAAAGATGAAAGAGCCTTCGCTTCCTCTGCCTCCTGTCCCACCGCAGACAGCCACTCAGCCGCTACCCTGCCCCGTCTTGCAGTGTTCAGTAAGGGCACCGTCCAGTCCGCACACCCGCCTGCCTGCCACACTATTCGGCGTGTCTGCGTTACTATGCTTCTTTCTGTAACTGTATGTCAAGTACCCAGTGTCCACCCAGACATCCACCGATGCTGACTCAGGTATAGCCCCTGAGGGGGCAGGTTTGCTGTGGAGTGTGCTTTTCTCATTCCTTTGGAGTAAATAAATATCTGGAGGTCAGATGACAGGTCACAAGTTTAACCTCTCGGGAGTACAGACTGGGCCAGGCCGGGTGGCCCCATGCAATCCCAGCACTTTGGGGACTGGGGAGGAAGATCATGACAAACTTGGGTTGTGGCAAGACCCTGCCTCAAAAAGAAGCAGAAAAACCCACCAAACAAATTCCCCACAGTAACACATTTCTCTACTCCCACGGGCTGCCTGAACCTGACGTGTTCCTGGGCCCTCACCAACCAGTTTGTCCTGTCTAAGCTCTCTGGAAGGCGTGTGCCGGAGCTACAGCTTCAAGCCTGCAGTTCCTCAGTGCTGAGCTGTCACTTACAACACCCTATCATACCATAGCACACCCCAGTTCCCTGGTGGGGATGGCACTCCAGGACCGGTGCAGGCCAGGCTAGCGTTCCACCTCGGAGACTTGTCCCCACCCCCCCCACACCCCCACCCCAGCTTCCCTATGCAGGTAGCTGTGCTACTGGAAAACCAGGACGGCTTCCCAGCTTCCTGCCAGCAAACGACAGTGTCTAAACACAGGGTTCCTCCAATGGAGACCTCATAAGGTGTGGGTGCTGGATTAATTTCTTCCTGTCCTTGTTCCTCTGCTGGTCACAGAGCAAGTCTTGTGTGTGAGTGTGTGTGTGTGTGTGTGTACATGTATATCTGTGTGAGGTGCAAGTGTGCGGTGGGGGTGGGGGTGGGGATGGGTGGGTGGGGGTGTACCGTGTGCAGGTAGGAAACGCCTCACAGAAGGGACAACAAACAGGGAAGGAAGCACACAGGACCACTTCTAGTTCTAGTGTTTGGAACCGATGAAGTTCCGAAACACAAAACCCCACAGGGTATGTCCTGACACAAATGTGACCCTGCAGGCAGGTTCAGCAAATGTGCCCAGGACCCTGTCACTGTGAGAGGCTGTGCCAGGGGACGGGCCTTGGCTGTAGGGTCCCAGAGGGCGCACTGGTCAGTGTTCCCAGCTGCAGGCGTGGGCATCCCTGTGAAGCTCCAGCCTAACCAGGTTTCTCTAGGGCATCTGGCCCTCTAAAGACCCAGCTTCAGAAGAAAACCCAGAATGCCGTCTCCCTACCCATGTCCCGATCCATACAAAGTCCTCACAGGCAGGCGGGTCATCAGCCTGGGGGACTGCCATAGAGGGCAGCTGCTCATCACACACCAAGGAGCCCTTCGGAGGACAGTGACGATGTCACCACCCCACAGCTACAGATTTCCCGTGGCTGAAAGGAACAGTGAGGGCAGAGTTGCTCGGCGAGACCTCGGGACTCAATAAAAACTGGCAGAGACTGCATGAAATACCAAGCCGGTGCTAAGCTCTGCTTCAACTGGACACATGCATATTTTATTTTATCCCAGATAGGAACTGTGACTTGGAACTAACCATTACTCAGGAACTCGACCCCAGCAGTTTGCCTGCACAGGGGACAGACTCACTGGAGGCAGCTGGACAGCTTTTACCCCAACCCCTGCGGGAGCGCCTGTCTGTAGACGCAGCCAGCACCACCACATGGGGCCTCTGCAGGAGGCTCTGAAGCCACGGCCCAGGATGCTGGAGTGGAGAGAACACGCAAGGCCACTCGGGGGAGGTGGGGGAGGCTAGAACCTCCGAGCTTGCGACTGAGGACATGGATGTGTTTTATAGGTTGACGGTAATCACAAGAAAGCGGGCTGTGGCTGGCTCTGTTGATAGAGCGCTTGCCTAGCAGGCTGGAAGACAGACTCAGCACCACACAGATCTATAAATTGAAACTGGGTGTGGTAGCACACTCATGTAATCCCAGAATTTAGGAGGCTGAGACAGGAGGCTCAAGAGTTCAAGGCCATCCTCCTCTACAGCTTGTGACCAGCCTCAGCTTCCTAAGACTGACAGAAACAAAACAAAACACTAACCAACAAACCAATCAACAAAAGCAGGCAGGCAGATGCAGGTGACCTTCGAAATAACCTCAAACTCAGCCACTGCCCTGAGGAGTCAGCAGCTCTCAGACTGTGCTTGGGGCCAAGGCCTTTCACCAACACCACCTAGCTGCTCAGCAACAAGAGGGCAGTTGTTGAAGGAATAACCGCTGCTTCAATAATCATAGGAATCAATATTAATTATTTCAACAGACAATAACAGTGTTTGCATACAGGAGCCTCTCCCTCTGCCTAATGAGCCACAGCCCACCAACCACAACCACTGTACTAGAACGCCAAACACCTATAGGGCCAGGCTTGTGCACCAGGCATGTCACCTTTACACGTCCCTCACTAGGGAGAGCAACACCCTAGTGTTTTGCAGCTGTCACCAAGTCCAGATGTGAGTGCAGTTGCCTGGACTCAGAGGATGAGTGCCCCCATCCCAGGAAGGGAGGATGCGGAGAGTGTACTGTCCTCGGCCTGTATATGCTGAGGCAACAGCTGAATCAACACAGCCACAGGGGCCTCAGGAAGTTGACAGGCCCCACCCCAGGATCAAAATGATTCCACACTGATGCCTGCCTCAAACGCTGCTTCTCTGCTCACTGCCGTGTTGCAAATAAGCACCAAATACTATTTAAAATAGGTACAACACATGTCAGTTGTTTGTTCTGTTTTGCTTTTTGAGATAGGGCTTCTCTGTGTCCTGGACTC